TCCTGTCTCACATATCCCACTGTGTGCCCTGAAGGGTGTGATTGCTCACTTGTGCTGCCAGACAGCTGTGACCTACTCAGGCATGGTGTTCTAATAGAGTGTTTCATGCCCTAAAATCTAAACGTTAGGCTGGTCAACACATGGCAGGAATGGGAATGTAGTCACAGACACATCAGTGCACATATTTGAGATTATGGTGATTGAGATATCTGTGGTGATACACCAAACACCAATTAACTTTAGATTTTTGCTCCCATGCCTTGCTGCTCCCTGGGAGCTGCGTGTAAAATGTGAAATAGTTTGAAGGTGTAGTTTCATCTGTTCCATTCTGAAACAGTGTTGTATTTTTACCTTACTGCAAGTTTTATACTAACTAAATTTTACTGCTCTGCCTACCAAGAATGCTGTTGGCATCCAGGGCACTAGAAATGCTTTTCTGCTCCAAAAGCTGTCTAAACCATTGCTAAGTACAGCCATATTTTCCTTTCGTGATAAATGTGGGGAGTTTGCTCCACTAGCATTTAATGTGTGTAAGCTTAAGGCTTTTACCAGATGATCTTTTCACTGTAAAGATGATTTGTTACCTTCAGAATTTAACAGAAGGCCCAAAAGGAACAAGAATTCCACTGGGCTTCTTTGAAATTCCATCTGTCAGCTTTCAGATTTTAGCAAGCTGTTTGTGTCCAGAACAATATTGCTTTAAGATCCATTTACTCAAGGATGATCCATTGCACAGTTCCATTTTCTCTGAGGATTTCACTCCCACAATTGAACCTAATGTACAATTTCTGGCTGTAGTTCTGCTATTTCTTCATAGCAGCCTGTATGGGACTGTGTTTTGGATTTGTGATGATAATGTGTTAATTATGGGGATGTTTTCATTACTGCTGAGTGGTGCTTACACCAAGCCAAGGCATTTTCTGCCCCTCACCCACCCCAGCAGCAAGTGGGCTGGGGAAAGCAAAAGAAGTTGGGAGGGGACACAACCAGCACACCTGATCCAAAATGACCAAAGTGACATCCCTTATCCAGGGTGCTTTACTCTGCAGGAACAGCTGCAGGAAGATGAAGAAATGAGATGCTTGATGGAGTCCTGCTTTACTGAGGATGGCCAAACACCCCCTGCCCATCAGAACTGAGCAAACTCTTGGCTTGGCTTTGCTTTCCCACACAGCTTTTACTTAAGTTATTGAAATGCCTTTACCTGAACCCAAGAGAGTTCTCCCTTTCAGCCTCTCAGTTTTCTCCCCATCCCACCTCAGGTGGATTAAGCAAGCCAGCAGCTGTGTGAGGCTCGCTTCAACCAGGACACACAGAAACAGGCAAGCAATAAGCAAATACTTACTTGTGAAGCCATTTCTCGTGACTGACAAAGGAAGGGGAAAAAGAAAACAAAAGACAATTTAAACAGAAGTGAATCTAAAGAAACAAATATGGACTATGAAACAGGAGCCACAGAAAAGCAGCCATACAGGTAATGGAAAAAGGTTTTTGTATCTCTTTTTATATTTTTTAAGTGTAGTAGAAAAGGTTTGGGTCATAGGTGTGATAGTCGTGGAGAGGCAGGCTAGATTTACTTGCTACTTAGTTACTTACTACTTTACTTACTTACAGGCTAGATTTATTTAGTTACTGGGTCATTGAAAACTTGCTTTATTTTTAAAGTTACAAGTATCTGTCAATGAAGTGAGAGCTTCTCATTTGCATAGTGAAAAAGGGAGTGCTAAAGGATAAATTATACATATTATATATTAATATTAGCATATTTTGTGCTCATGACTCAAGTTACCCGTGTTATTACCTCACAGCATCCAGGTATGTGCAGTACAAATTTAGCTTCTTTGTCTGTTTAAACTCAAATTGATAATCATGTTGAAGGCTCTCTGAGTTATATACCTTCAAATTCATGGTTAGTAGTTCATAGTTCCTGCATAAAAAGAGTGAACTACTTTTCTCTTATTTCCATTTTAAAGATCTTACCCAACAACATTCTTCTGGCTTAATGTATTGAAAAGCTAAAATGATAACCCATGCTTGTAGGTCTCTATCCACAAAGACCACAGACACAGAGCAAGATGTTTTGTATTCTGGGGAAGAGGTAGGTGAGGGGAGATTTCCCTGTCCCTCTCTAGAGGGGAAAGGTTGTACAAATTCTGACTCACTAAACACGAAATTGCACAAGTATTTGTGTGGAAATACCACTGGAGGTCTGCATTCAGAATCTTCAGCTTAAAAAGACCAACAACTGCTTTTTCTTCACTTAATAGAGGAGTGCCATACTTCCACATTTGTCCAACACCTGACAATTTGAAAATTTAACTAGGAGGTTTCTCCAACCTCCCTTCCTTAAGCCTCTACGCGATTTAGCTCAAATTCTTTGTGAGATTACCTGTCAAAGTTGGTGGGAAGTAATAGCAGAACTCCTCATTCTGTTTTTTTTGGACCTGAAGTTAAAGACCCAGCCCTGAATGTGAGAACAAAGCATTGCCAAGAATTTTATCTTATCCTTATTTAATGAATTCTTAAAATCTGGTATGTTCTCTGTTTTGTGGAAAGCTGTGAGAGACCTTTATTTCATATTAGCATTGAGGCTGACTACATTCTTCTCCAGGAAATGATTTTGATGGATTATGTTAAGGCTGCTAAATTTCAAAAGACATTATTGCAGTCACGGAGTCCACTGGCTAAGCTGTAAAAGCCACCTGCAGAAAAACTGACGGTCCACAAAGCGATACACCCACGAACTGGGTGGAATCTTGCGCAGCTTTTTATCACTTTTTTATAAAATTAACTTCAGCTGAATGTACTTCTTCAAGAGCAAGTCTTGCCATTAAGCATTATATGGCCGAGTGTTTTCTAATATTTTTCTGAAATATAGAAAAGAAGATATAAACTACCTATCTTGGAAATTAGTTTAAACTATGTCTGAGTATTTCAGAAGAGAGCTGTTTCTCACTGTTGTATTTTAAAGCTGTGGTCTAATGAGATGGCAGTACCAATGGTCATGTAAACAAATGGATAATACATGACAGAAATCAAAGCTGCCCAAACAAAAAAAGTACATTAAGTAGTCAGGAAAAAGTAATTTTGCCATTTTTTATAAATGGAGAGATGGAGAAATGTACACATTTATGTGGCAAACATAGAAATACATATTTAAATATTGCCATTGTTTGGCAGCTAAATTTAGAGAGATCCCACAATACTTTGAATAACACTAACTAGAAATGAGCAATGAGAGAATGAATTAGAAGGTGACGTGAGCAGGGAAATGCCACCAGGTTTGAGACACAGTGCTGGCATTGTTGGCAAAGGGCCAGGGGGCCTGGTTAAGGGTTTGGTACAAACACTACTGTTAGTGAGCACACCCAGGTCAGAGCAGTGCTCACTCCTGGCCGTGCCCAGCTGCCCCTTGGCTCCCATCCATCCGTTCCCAGGTGCCCACTGGCTCTGGCACTGCTGGAGCCTGGGCTCAGCCTAGGTTAGGGTGAGCAGCAGCTGTCAGCAGAGGCCTCGTGCACCCTGCAGGAACCCACAGGAAAGCACAGTGACTGACCCACCTCAGATGTTGTGAGCTTCTGGGACTCTGTCCTGTAGACTCCAATTGGAATGTCTCCTGTAGAGGAACAAAGCTTCTGATACAGTCTGGCATATGTCCTAATCCACAGATCCTCTTCTGTGATTTTCATCTGAGCAAATAATAATAGGATGGAGGACTTTTAATTCTTGAGGGTTTATCATTTGTTCACTATGCAACTCATAAAAAAAAAAAAAACAACTAAACACTAGCTGGTAATTATCCCATTGTAGTGTTGCACCTTTGCCCTACAACAAATCTGCAACTTCCATTGAGTTTGTCAGGCTGTTTCTTTTGTTTTCTCCCTGTTTAGAATACATTGTAGTGGAAGCAGTTTAGCATCATGAACTTCTGGTCTTGGTTTAAGATTACTTAAAATTTACATGGCAGCCTTCACTCACTTTCTATTTTTGACTAGAATATAAATTAATAAACTAAATATTGACAGCAGTAAGAAACTGGTGTGGACAGACTGGAGTGCATGAGTATTTTGAATTTGAATTTTGTCCACCAGACTGCAGGCTGAATATGTGAGGAGGAAGTAATATACTAAGCATAAGTGACATAAGAAGTCTTACATGAAGCTCACTTACTTCACTACTAGCTTTATTTCAAGATGTACGAGTTCCTTTTTAGAGATTCAATTGTACTTTCAAGTGTTCTTACATTCACTGTAATGAAGCTTAATGATTGACCAAGAAATATGTAATTTTTATTTAAATACCTTTTTTAAACCATCATTGATACCTTCCTGCCATTCTTTACAGATCCCCAAAAGCAACTTGTAAAAACCCAATTTGTAGTGATCTGTTTGCTCCCCAGAGTAAATGAGGTGTGGGAGAAAACAGAAAGGTGGGGTTTATTTTAGTAAAACTTACTTCAGCTGTGTAAGTTTGTATGTGTGTACATACACAGTTAAACTGCATTGGGGAATACTGACATACATAATAACAAGACGACTTTTGAACTCCAACTCCTAGTCATTTAATACATCTGATCTTCATGTAAAAACTATTTAATTTTTAAACTGGTTGCTGAACTGCCATTACTATTTCATATAAAATGCACTATTCCTGTTTTTTCCTGACTTCCTAATTTTCTGCTGAATAGAATGCATTGTATTTTCTTGGGGATATGTTTTTTTGCTATGGAAGTAAAAATGGCTATGTTTTCTGTTTAATTTCCTCATCTTCTCCCTGATGAAAAGGGAAACAGATGGCCTTCCTTGAACTTTCACAAAAGGAAATGCCATGCAAAGAAAGTTGAAGTATTTTGCAGACAGTACAGAATCTTCTATAGTACTCTGTACTGGTTTTTTGGTTTTGTTTTTTTTTAATAACTTACAGAACAAAGAAACCCAGATCCTGGTGTGGTGTCAAGTCCCAGCAGAAGTCTTGTGATAGAAATCATATAATCTTTCACAAATGACTGCAAAATTTTTTAACAGGAGAGACAGAAAAGAAAGAAAAAACCTTTAATGAACAGAGCCGTAGGCAACCAACCACTAGAACTATGTATGACTTTCAAAGGAATTATACATCTGTGTTTACAGTCCATCTCTTTAAGTATCCTAATCACTGTAGGAATACCTATCCCTTTCTTTTGGCTGAATTTACTTATATAAAGTAAGTTTTCCTAAATTGGCACTGCATGTGCATGCAATGAAGGTACAAGATTCAGCAGACTAAGGCAGAACAAGGCACAGGAAATCAAAGATTGATGTGTCAGTGGAGTGAGGTGTTAGCCCTACAAGGTGTGAAATTATAATGAACTCTTCTGTGCAAAAGAAACACTGGCAGATGTTGGATGGCTCTGCAGTCCTCACTGTGTCCCTCTGAGATGACACTGCTATTATTTTATTCAAATGAGTAATCTGAAGGGTTTTTAAGGGTTGATATGCATATGTTGTTCTGCTAAACAGTGTGTTGCTGTTGGTTAAAAGGCAGAAATTAAGTTTAGTGTAGAAGTGTAGATGAAGGCCAGGAATGGCCATTAGATCAGCTAAAATCAGTATTTCTCCTCCTGGGTTGGGCTGCTGGAATGAGAAGCCCATGGGGGTGCTCTTCTAGCTGTGGCTGAGCTGTTCTTTGCCACCTGTACTCAGGTGTAGCAGGGCAGCATTGCAGTCCTTGGAACACAGCACACACTGTAGCTCTGCTGGCTTCATGCAAATGCCTGAAACCAAGAGGTTTTCACAAAGAAATAGCCCACAAAGGTATTACAGAAATCCTTTAGAGCTATAGAATCTGGATTTGTTCAAACTCAGAAGCTAGCTGGATTTCGTTTGATACATAGTGATTCAAAGATTTTAATTTTTGTACTGGTAGTCTCCCAGTCGTGATGGGCTAAATGCCAAGGAGCATCTCAAATAAAATTTGTTTGGAAATTAAACACGTTTATTATCTTGGTGGCATCATTTCTGCCATGAAATTTTCATTAGATTAACAAGTTTATTCACCGGGATTTGCAAAACCAAGTTTTCATTTTTCAGTTACTGTCCTAAAGATAATTCAAAGGTTTTTCTTTCAATCTATAATGGGAAGCACCAGCTGAACCCTGATGTTTCCCCATGTAATTTGCTATGTTTCTTACAGAAGAAAAGACAGAAAATGGGACCATGAAAAAGTACAAAGAGCTGCTGTTATAGAATTTCTAACTTACAGTAAGAAATGTAATTCTAGAAAAATGACAATTCACCTATGAACAGTAGCGGTTCAAAGGAAGAACAGGTGGAAATAAAGTGAGAATGAGCATGTGAGTCTTGCTTTAAACACTTTGTGGTGAATGGTGTTACTCTGTCAAGTCATTGCATGATTATTCATGTTTGGGAGCAAATAAAAATATTGAAGTTACCTATGTGATGGCAGGAGCTGTTGATGATTGACAGATCTGTTTCTATACATGTGTCTTTGGTATTTTTACTGCTTTTTATTTTGGTATGTGATGCTGATATTCTGGGGCATGATTAAGATGTTTTATATGCAAATACATTTCCTTCTAGAACCTTAAAATATGTATGTCATACATGACTGGTTTATATGTTAATGGCTTCTTGAGAAAAGTTTAGCTCCAGAAATTTTTCTATTTATGTTGGATTTGCCTTCAGGAAATTTATTTGAAAGTGGAATTGTGATGAAAGAACACCTTTCATGCACCGAATTACCAAGTACATTCATTTCCCTGCAAGGATGTTTTCTACCTGAGTACTAAAGCATCCACAGGCTATCCCCAGGCAGAGACAAGGCAGGAGGCTGCTCAGGTGAGCAGATGATGTGGGCCATGGTGCTGTTCCTGCTTATGTTGTGTGCCTTGATCCTTGTAGGGTGGTGCTGGGGGCTGATCCTTGGGCATCCTGGTGTGTCAGTGTGCAAAAACGTAGCCACTGCTGAAAACTGAGCAATACTGACCAATTTTCCACCCTGAAACTAGCAACTACTGCCTCCATTTGCCCTGACTGTATTTTCTGATATTTTTTCTTCAACTCTCTGAAGCTGTGCTCTTCCCTGATTCTCACTGTCATCACTACTTCCTGGATTCTGAGCCACAAGGTTTAACTGCTGCCTGTTCTTCCCCCACCGTGTCTTTGCAATCACTGAATGCATTTCTTGCAAGGGCAAGCATGCCTTACTTTACAGTGCAATGACAGGACCTCTGCAGATCTAGTCAACATGAGTAAGAGGAGAGGACACTATGAAGTAATTGAGGCCTTTATCAGCAAATGCAGGAGACTAATAAATTACATATTAAAGTAATTCTGTTCCTTTCTGTTAGGGACATGACGTGTGGAAATGGGCACTGCATTTTTTATTGCAGAGTACAAGCATTATTATTCTATATAATCTGTAATTTATGTAGGTCTTATAGAAGCTATTTGACTCTGGAGAGGTACATTAACAGTATCACATTATCTAACATTGGATTTTGTGCAGTCACAGGGTGATCTTGGGATTGATAACTGAACTAAGATGTCAAGCATGCTCCATTGTCTTTTGCCATTGATTGCTCCCAGTATAGACGCACTTTAATGGATCCTGTGGCAGAAAATAGGGTCATCTAGCAATTAAGCACAATAAAATGGATGGCAATATTTGTGTTAAGTCACATTACTGTTCATAGTACCTGATAAAGCAGTGTGTCTAACATGCTGATGCTGAAAACCCTGCCAGCAGCAAAGGGCAGTCGAAACATAAATGCCAGATTAGATCCTTTCTCCCGCTCTTTCTGTTAAGGAATTAAAACACAGAAAACATTTTTAATGCTGGTTTTGGAAGGACTGTAACAAAAACATGAAATAGATATTATCTTGAAAGAAGTCAGAAGTGTAAAATCTCTTTACTCTCAACATAGCTTCTTCCTACAAGTATGCAGCATCTTTGTTCCATAGGTACAGGTTTTCAGGTTGAAAGATCAATGTATATGTTATTTCAGTCATCACATCTCAGACTGCATGGGCATATTCCATCAGATCAGTTTTAAAAAGAAGGAGGGATATCAACTGTGCTTAGCTCCTGTTAACCTGCTCCAATTCCTTGGTGCTGACAGTGGGTTGCCATCCTAGGAACAGGAAACATGAAGAGAATCTGGTACAAAAGGGAAGAAATGGCACAGGGGTCAATCAGTGCCCTGGTGCTGCTTGCCACACTCTTTCTGGTACTGACCAGGATGCCACTTGCCTTGTGGCCACCTGGACACATGCTGGCTCAGGCTGTCACCCAGCACCCCCATCCTTGAGCAGCTTTCCAGCCACTCCTGCAGTGCTACAGGAGGTGATTGTGACCCAAGGGCAGGACCCAGCCCTTGGCTTTGCTGACTTTCATATGACTGGACCAGGCTGGTTTAGTTTCCTTCCCTCTCTTCTACAGCCTTGCTTTTCCTTTATTCTTGCTTCAAAGAGATTTGTGAGAAATCTAATCCTACCTTCTAGGAAAGAACAAATTAATTTTCTGGTGTTGATATGGAACAACTTCCTAAAAACCTGTCAGTTCAACAGTCAAATTTGTGTGCTAATTGCTTGTACAACTTTAGAATTCATGTAAATTGCTAGAGATCTATGTAAAATAAGACACCAATAATAAGAGGTACTAAGCTCTTTTTATAACTCCTATGTCATTATTGGTTTTTATTACTTAATGTTAATTCAAATCTGCTTAACACCTGAATTATACTAAAGAAAAAAAAAATGGAGATAGGAAATAGGAGGCCCCATCCTGAAAGCTAAAAAAGCAGCCTGGCTGTGTGTAAATCACTGCAAATATACTGGATCATTCCAGATAGATTTCTGCTCACCTAACATTTGTGTGCTTATCCCTGTGGAAGATACAAAATCACAGGATTGGGTTTGATTAAAAGATATAGGGATTTGTATTTATTTCAAAATGATCACTCACAGCTTTATAATTTTTATCAGTAACACCTGTAATATTAAATTGGAAAAAAAACCCATAGCAAACTGAAGTCTGAATCCTATCCAAAACACTACAAACCCTTTCTTTCAAAAAAGAGGGAGTGGTTACCTTTTTCTTATGCAAGACAAATGGAGAACACAGATGTCAAGTTTAGAGTGTGGGTATTTTTCCTTTTCTCTCTTGTATAAAGGCCACTGCTTTCTCCTATGTCAGTGCTGATTTTATTATCAGATTTATTTATCTCTAAAATGAGAAAAGTTGCAGCTGCAACAGCAGATGGACATCTGATTTGTGTATCTGTCTTCTGCAGCCCATTAGGTTGAAAAGCCAATTTTGCAAGTGTGTCTCACTGCTACCTCAAGGCAACTTGCCTGACATTCTCAGTCTTTCTGAAAATGAGGCACTTAATGCAGAAATAACAAGCAACTGTATGTTTGACTGCTTTAGGTAATTTTTACTGAAGTTTTTAATTGCCTTCCATTTAGCATGAGGGAGTTCTGAAACATCAAATGAACTACAACACCACCTGTGAAGTTCTCCCTGCAAATGTTAAGATGAACTGACTGGGAAATATTAACAGCAGGCAACTGCAAGAGCAATGAAGAAAATGTTCTTTCTTTAAGGTAATTTATTTACCTCTGTTTCAGCAGAGCATAGTTTAGATAGGAAGTTCATTAAATGCTCAGCTTCCAACCTGTCTTCGGAACTTTTGCATAATAAATGAATAAGATAGCCAAGAAGTTAAAATATTTTTAAGTATTTCCAGAATATTTGCTTGAAAAATTAAGGAGCCTATGTAAAGAAAGAACTGAGATAAAAATCCTGGTTTCACTGCGTTGAAGTAGAGAGCCCAGAGAGAATTCCAGAATCCAACTGGAATAAGATTAAGGGAATATGTTAACAAAGAATTTCAAAACCCTGTCAGTCATAGTACACCAAGACATTAAGTTTGGTTGAAACACAGTGTTGAAGGCCCCAGCCAGCTGTTGGCCCTTGTTGCCCTGAAAGACCCCAGCCAGTTGTAACTTATCCTTCATGGATTTACCATGGAGGGAGGAAGTGGAGGAGCCACAGGTGCAAACCTTAAAGGGTAGTGGGGGTGGCATTATCCCAGCAAAGCTGAGCCTCCTGCTGCAAACAGCTCCTCTCTAACTTTTGTCTGGTTTCCTCACAGCTCTCCAGGCTATGTCTCTGTCAGAACACCAGCTAAACACAAGATCAAACCTTCATGCAAAGATAACAAGTCACTAAAGGTCACCCAGATATTTACATCTTGTGGTTGATGTGTTAAGTGTGATATTCAACTGGGTAAAAGATTTACTTCTCATCCTTATCCTCTCATCCACACAGGCTGAATTTTTGCAGCATTCAATTCCTCTGTAAGAAACCAGACTGGGAAGGTAAATTTCTAGGGAAAAGCTCTTTTCCATGGAATTTTATATATTAAAATTACTTATGTGAATATTGTACAGTAAATAGTGAACTCTGAAATCCCCAAAATTTAGGAAATTTACGGTACAAGTAGGAAATGGAAATGATATGTTAAATCTGTATAATGGTAATGATTTTGGCATGAATTCACATTCACCAAGGTACGTAAGGTTGGGGGGTACATGAGAAAACCCAGCAATCATACTGATTGATAGACTGATGGGGAGAAAGAATGAAGGATTTCTGTCCTTGAAGACTGTCACAATGACATTATTTGTGTCTCACAAACTCAGAATAGGTCAGATCACCAGGGAAGACTGAGAAAGAGGATTGTCCTTGAGTTTAGAGACTTAAACAGATACACAGTATTCTTCCTATGTTCCCACCTGTTTTAAGTAACAGTATTTTGAACAAGCAGATTAACTTCATCTCCACACAGCCACAGTTCCACAATTTGAAAATGCCAAATATACATATAGAATATGAAGGTTTTAACTAACATTTAAGTAGTGTTGGTGTCCCTCTCATCATTCTGACAGAGAACAATTATTAACTGTCCCATTATCTCCCATGGATACACAGAAATGTGTACAGAAGACACAGTTATAATGTCTTTAAAATGAATTGGAATTTAAAAATACATTTTAATAAAAGCTGTATGTTTTAAGCATTTAGTCAGTTAAAAGATGTTCCATGTTAATTGCCTGTGTCAGCCTCTTGGACAAATACATTAGCTCTAAATATTTAATTATCAAAAAATATTTCATTTTCATTGAGCAAATTCCACCAGAGAGTTGGTTGATTTATATTATATTGTAAAATTATCAAATCAAAATTAACTTTATTCTTAAACGAGGGCAGAATTTTGAGAAAAAAATTATCATTTATGGTAACTACAACCATAAATCATTTCACTGTTTCCACTTGTTTTGAAATCTTTGTTACAAAATCAGAAAAAGTAATAAAAATAAAGCATTTAAACTGAGGGTGGGGGGAGGTAAATCTCCTTACCTTTTCCAATTTGGACAGAGCAAGAGAATAGCAGTCCTTGGCTCTGAACTGCATGAATCTCATGTTGGCTGGGTGAGTTAGTTCTGTGATAATGCTTAGGCTGGAGAACAACCTGCATTTCAAAAGAACGTCATGGTTATACTTCCAGTTACAACAGTTCACAAATGGAAGGCTCTGCATGAAGCTACAGCTTGTGCTTGTCTCCATGTTTTTAATGAAGTCCCTGGAACTGTGGTGGGTCTGGGCCCAGTGACATGCTGGTCCAACAGCAGAGGAAACTACAACACATTCTCTGTAGAATTCACCAAGAAGCACACATTGAGCTCACAAAATACTTAAATGCTAGAAAAAAACAACTTAATTTCATTATCAGAGGTTTTATTTAATGATTGGTGCAATATCGCAAATCTGTAGGAAACAACAAAAACTGCGAAAGTTTAAAGCTTGTCCTTAGTACCAGGTTGCATGTAAAGTATGACTGATTTATGTACCCTTCCAGTTGGTTTTTCTTTCTTGAGGTCTGTTTGTATGCTGTGACTACAGTCTGAGCAATATAGATGAAAAGTGACACCTGTGGGAGTTGCTGAGAAAATGTATGTTTATGTATACTTATGTTCTCACTCTGAAATATTTACATATACAAAATATTTATAGCTTAACACCAATTCAGGCTTCCAGTAACTAAAGCAGTGAAGAAAGCTCAACTGTGAACTGGCTGAATTACACAGATTTTCAAGCAGCAGACTCAAGAGCCCCTCTTCAGCACTTAGGGCTCAAAGAAACAGAAAGAAAATCATAGTTTACACTATTTAAATAATAAACAAGTTGGAATAGAACACATTATTATTTAAATCTTTCCTCTACAGATTTGTGTCAGAAAATCAGATGTACATTTGTAGCCTCTTTCACTGATCCTGGGGCTACTTATCTATGCTTAGCAATAGGTAATTGTAGTACTAATTACATCACTGATGTGGCTTCTGTCTCGCTTTTCATGGAAGCAGCATTTGGTAAGTTAGTGGATGGAAATGGAATTCAATGCACCCTTTTGCAAGTCTTGCCCTTTTTCCCTCACCTTTGCAGGGGGAAACCCCACTGAAATGGCAATTCAAGCAGAGCCTAAATGTGGGGAGACCTTTATCCAGACTATCTGCTAATATGTGTTAATCTCACACTGTCTTTGAAAACTAACACTACAAAATTCAGAATTAGGAGTAATAAGAAATTAAAAGCTGATCTCATAATAAAATATACATAGGAGGAAAAAATGCAGGCTGTTGTATTTCTCTTAAAGATGGTTTTGTTTATCACCAAGATATGAAAACAGATCTATATTAGGAAATCAGTTTCAAAACTGGTATTGGTAAAATATTTTACTTATGAGTGCCTTTTAGCTGAATTAGGGGAAATTGCTCTCCAGGAAGGCAGGGACAGATTGCATCTTGCCCTGGGTGTAAGGCACTCTGCCTGCCAGCTTTTAGCACTGGAGCAGACTCCTTCTGGGTAGAGATCCCTCTCCTAGCCCATTCTAGGAAGAAAGGACTGAATGGGGAAGAGAAAGCCCCCACCAGCCTGATGGAAGGCATGGCTTGCTGTTGAACTCATATTAGGAAATCAGCAAGAGAGACGTGTAGTTCTTTCCCAAACCACAATAATAGACCCAGAAAATAATGCAATGCCATCATAGCACCTCATTTGGTTTACCTGTAAATTGGTGATGACAGCTAGATACCAGCCAAAACACTGACCTGTTACGTGCAGTGCTGGCAGTAGGCTTCCTGCAGGATTTAAAACACACTCTTTAAGAGGTTAACTAGTAAAACTTTATAGTGGGTCAGACCTACTGCCTGAGGAAATGTGCTGTTTTTCTGAGGTGGGTTCACACCTGTCTACAGGAACTCAGTGGCTGGCTTCCTATTTACTTTTAAAAAGTGAAAAGCATCTTAAGGTATACTCCAAGACTATTGGTTTCTGCTTTTATTTTTAAGCTGTGATAACCTGTTCTTTCTTAGTCAGTGTGCCCACTTGAGTCACACTTCTGTATGTGTTGTCACACACTTCCCACGTCAGATAAGTCAGTGCTGTGTCACAGCTTTAATTGGGATGGCGCAGCTTCCAGCCCTAAAGGTGCTAATAACCCTGTTCTTACAAACAATGCCCCTACCTTCCAGGGTGGGGAACATACTCTCCGGGCAAAGCAGGATTGCTAATTTATGTAAATCAGGGAATAATGACACAACTGGTGTATGAGAACTGCCAGCCTGGGCTGAAGAGCCTGGGTTACTGCAGCTCTCACCGGGCTTTTTCAGGCCTGAGTAATTTACATCAGGGCTGTTTAAATCAGCCTGTACCCTCTGAAGGGTTTCACCTGGTGAGACCAAAGTGGAAACCTTGTCAATGATGTGATATTACTGAAAACAGCATATTAAATCCAGGGGTTTAAAATCCCTCTTTAACACCAGAGTTGGTGTCAAGTGCTCTTGCTCTCTACCATGTCCGGCCTTTTCTTCATTACTTTCTGATATTATTAGGTGTTTCTAAGTAATGAAAAAGCTTTCAATATATTTTAAAGGTCATTTAGAAAATCATTTACTTTAGTGCAATGAATGTAGTTTATTCTGTAGAACAGGTAAATACCACTATCTTATGCCTCTTCCCAAAGCTTACTTATTTCTACAACTTTTACATAATAGAAAAATGCAGTGAAATTATTATATGTGTTCTAGGGGGGGAAAAAAGGAAACAAATTTATACTATACGCTATTTGTAAAAGTTTACAAAGTTTTATGAAAAAGTGTTGTTAAGTCTTAAACCAAGTTATTTGTTTTAATTTATTTTATTGTAGATATGCAGTGTTAAAACAGTACTGAACCAGACACAGTTTGTACACGAGTTAAAGCTGCCATCTAGTTGCAAACAATGTGCAAGACAACTGAATGTACTGAGTGTACAGTAACATCTAGTGGCATACTTATTGTATGTAATTTCTCTTTTACAAAGTAAAACACAACAAGGGAAAAACCAATTGGTTTTACTTTTACAAGTTTTACTTTTGATACAACTCCTTTTAACATTTATTTCAGAAAAACTGATGTATGTAAAAAACCTCAGTGAGTGCCCTAGGACTGTGGTTAGGAGTAGATCTGAGTGATGCAAAGATAAAGTTCAATTATAGTTTCAACTCAAATTTCCTAGGTGTGAGTATGAATCACACACCTGTGCAAGTATCAGGTACCAATTCAGAAACTGAAATGCTAGAAAAAGACAGAATTAATGTTTCTGGTGCAATGCAGATTTTACTTCCTTTGAGCACATGTAGAAATGCAAAGAGCATTTAACTGCATTCTCACAGAGATGCATTTACAAAAAACATTGTGGTTTAATGAGCTCAATTTTCTAAACCAGTGGATTCAAACCACTCTTACTATGCATCTCTGGTCTTTTGTGGAAGGTTTGACACAGCAAACAGGTAATTGCAATTAAAGCAAAACTGAATCAACCTCAATTTCCTTCTAGGTCTTATTAGAATGAACACCAGGAAGTCCAAGGCTTAAGCCCCAAATCAGGGAGGCATTTCATAGCTGACTCTGTAGTGTGTTTTGTTTTGTGTGAGATTTTTTTGAGTGTTTTTATTAAGAAAATAATATTTTTCTAAGCTCAAAGCGACACATTTTCTTCATACTCACTGAACCAAGATATTGAACACAAAGGCTTTAATGAGGAGAGTTCTCAAAACGAACAGCAAATCTCAGTATTTTGCTTTTCATCACAGCCTCCTCAGCCTCTTTACTACACTGATCATATTATATTCTCATGATTCTTGCCATGCTGCTGTCATATGTAATATATATATGTGCCTAAAAACTTAACTTCTGTGCAAAACTAGATATTCAAAATCTGAACACTTACTACTAACTTCACAGTGATGCAATGCTTACCTTTCAGCATTAGAAGGATCTGCTTTTCATACGGGCTTTAGCATTACTGTGAACTTTACTGTCTCAATTATCTTTCATCCTAAGTCTTCAAAAGTAACTTTATGTTCCTGCCTGACAGCTAACTTTTAAAATGGTTATCTGGTTTCAGGATGCAAAGCCTTTCATCTAAGCTTTCAGGTGAATACCTCAGGATTCTAAGTGAATTGCTAAGCAGGGTGGATAAAGTTTGCCCATCTAAGACACAAATTCATGCAAGGGAAAACTTAAGTAGAATAAAAAAAGACTTATTGGCATAAGAGCCATCAAGTATTTCACAATTAATGAGGATGTGTAAATAGATTGCAAAAATGCTTTACCTGAAGAGGGTTTGAACATTCACAATAGTCTTGGCATCTGCCATGTAGTCCTCCTCAGCACTCATCGTGCTTTCCTTGTCCACCACCACCATATTGGCTGCAAAGGTGACCCCACACCTTAATAAGTCATCTAGGCTTTTGTGAAGAGAAAGAGGGAGAAAGAAACAAGCAACTTAAATATGGAACACCTGAAAGATTAGCCATGGGTTGACATCTGCAGATCAGCTACATAACAACTTCTAATATAATCAAAGATAACATCTCAATTAATTGGTAGAATAGACTATAGAACCTACTTCAGTAGGTTGATACAGTTCCTCTCTTTTGGTAATGATAAATTTATCTCAATTTTTTTTAATAAGCCTTTAACAGTTACTTGGCCTTATCCACTGCAACAATCTTCTCCATTACAGTTACTTCTGACAATAGAAAAACCCAAATAAACGCTCCAGGTTGCTCTTTCCCACAGTTTTATTTTGGTCTCAAAATGTTAATAAATGAGCTGGAGTGTTTTCAGGATGCTTTTAGGAGCAGCTGCAGAGCAGCAGAACTTTGTGCACAGCTGGGCAACGTTTGTGTGAAGCCCAACCACAGAAAACACTCACAGACAGCTGAGTTACAGTTCTCATCATGCCTTGTAGCTTTGTCTCCAAAATGAAGCATGTTTCAGCTGTTTTAACAACAACATTTTCCACAGATCCTAAGCACTTTTTGACAAGTGTGGTGGGTTTTTTTAACAATTTATTTTGGAAGAATATGTACCATTATTTTTGAAACTGTGCAATATCACCACTGGTTGACTACAACAAAAGAAAAATAGATACTATGTGATCTACAAATGACTGCAGTGCATAAGTAGAAGTGCAAACTTTTTTCCTGAGTAATTTGTATTTCTGCTTTTTCAGACTTTCAGTTGATCCCTGAAAATAGCAGCATATTCTGAAATACCCAGATTTTCTGCATTTCAATGTTTCATAACCTCAACAGCTATTCTTATTTTAGCAGTTACATTCAGCTGGCTTGTGCAGAATTTGAAAAATGCTAATGTGGAAATAATTATAATTCTAGTTCTCAGATACCTCTAGCTAAAGGTTTCTCAAGATTGACTAGATTTCTCCACAACTATGAAATATGTTCAGTTACAGATCTCAAATCCTACCCAAGGACTGGGGGACAGGTACCTACTACTTGACATATTTTGATGAAGTGCATCTCTGCTACGAATTTTGGTAGAGCTGTTTTTTTGTGAGCCATCTACTTCTAACAAAAAAAGAATGTTAAAGGAAAGTCATTCCTTTAGTGGTTTTCTCTCTGAGATGATGATACTTCACTGCTGGTAAAAAAATGATAAGTATTTTAGATACCTATAGATAGTAAGTGGTACTTTGAGAACATATTTTATACCCCTTAAATAAGGAAAATTTGCACATTTTACAAAGTATTTCTTATCTACAGACGATCAGCTCTATTAGTTGTACATGATTTAAAAACATGGTGAGGAAAACACAGGGAATATTTCTGAATCATATTTTTAGAAGTATTCTTATTGATGATAACAGATATCAAAAAAAACCCTCTACAAACTATAGTTGCTTATTACACCAGGAATGAAAGTGATTTTAGTATCAGTTCATGCTGGTATTACTGTACTCTTCTGAATTTTGAATAATCACTTATTCCAAAGACTACATGCTTCATTTTTTTAAAAATGCATTTAATTCTGAAAAAACAACAAAACACCATTAGGGAGGGATTTGGCGATTTCCGTTTTGAAATAAACTCAGTAAATTTAAACCAAGTTTAATTTTCTACATTAGTCAAACAAGTTAACATCTGAGTTATTGATTACTTTGAATACTTTGAGTATTCGCTCTTGAATAGACCTTTTGATGCTGTTTGGGTTTTGTCTTTTTCCTTTCCTTTCCTTTTACATTACCTCCTTACTAAAGTTATCTCATGTTTCATTTCCAGGTTGGGAAAAAGGCAACAATTTAATTATTCTGCCATTATGAGTTCTTTTTATAATTATTATGTAATTAAGAGTTAAGAAAGTCATAGATATTAATAACGTGCAACACTGTCTTGCTTTATAGGAAAAAAATTGTAAACAACATTTCTGTGGGCTCTTTGTGAACCTCGCAAGGACTCAATATCACCAAGGTAAATCTGTAACTGTATCACTATTATAAGCAGGAAATAAGTTTTTTAATTTCTACAGGGGGAAATTAATATTATGGGCTTGTAGCCCCAATTCATTATTCACTATGTAGTGAAGCAGTTTTCTTTAAATTCAATCTACACAGAGGAGTTTACTAAAATATTCATGAGTCCTTGCTCCTCTCTTGTTTCTGCCTGATTTTCACATTAAAGTTCTGTTGCCAAACCTATATTCATAAACGTATATTAGCAGAGGTGAAGACAGAAATGTAGGAGTAAGTGATAATTTAAGTATTGGAAGATGAAGACTTTTGGACACATTCAAGACTGTTTACATTCTGTAGCTATCTTTACAAAACCTGAGTCAATGAATTCCAACAAATTATAACTCAATACAGTCTGACATTAGAATCAGGGCTATAATCTGTTCATTTGAAGAAACATGTGAATTCCCCTAAATAAGTGTTAATCTTATATTTTTGAACATATTAACCTGTGCTCCCTGTCATGCTTTTCCCTAGTGAGCTCCTTCGTAAATCAGAAATTTGAAATCCCAAATTACAGCACACAGACACAGACTATGCATGCAAAAAGCTCATCTCCAACTACAACACACACACACGAACATGCAATGACAATACACACAACAAACCACTGAGACTACAAAGGTAAGTTTTCTAACAGTTATTTCACCTACTTGTCGATAGAGCCCACCATGTAGTAAACCATTGGAAACCAACAGATTGCATCCAGAAAATGCATATCTGGCCTAAGCAGCAGATGGAATTACAAAATGAAACACAGTATCACAACAGCAGCATCTCTTTGAAAATGTTTTAATCAACTGGTAGTTTTTTGGTTTTTTTTTTTTTTAAATAACTTTCCTTAACTTTAGTATTATGATGTCAGTTTATGCAGGAAATAGCTTTTCAGAAAGCTGTGAATCAACAGTTTGCTGTGATCATAAAGTATTATCAGAATTAACATGCTTATATTAATAAATGCACCTCTAAAATCAGAAATGTTATGGCACAGAACAATTCCAAGTATAAGAACAAATGAGTAACATCAAAGACACACTACCAAGTTATACTCCAGTGGATGTCTTAAGAGGACTTAAAATAAGCATCAACAATTCTTAATTAAAATGTACAGTGGAAATCAAATCATCATTTGGGTTTTGTGACACCTACTGCTTTCAAGCCTACTCCCTTTCAGAGGAGTCACTGCAAACGCTGCATAGAGAGAGACAACAGTAAGGGTGTTGGTTTAATTAGCAAGCAGAGCTTTTACTTCACATTAATCAATCAAAAGTGGGTTTAGCTATAAAGTGTCACAACAACACTGAAGTGTGTGAAGTTGGGCACTGTGCTGGCAAAAGGAGCTGGCACTAGAGGGCCCCCTGTGCCCACGGCTTTGCTCTCACACTGCCAGTGAAGTGATTTAGCCTCATTTAGCCTTCTCAGTTTGTGTAATTCACTGTATGCCAGAGTACCTACATAAAAACCTTCTGTTTTGCCAACACAGGTGACTAAAGAGCTGCCTGAGGGAAAGTGGGACACTTCACAGCAGGCTTTTGTAGAAAAAATCACTTAAACTGCAACAGAACTACGCAAATGGAAGTGTCAGCCCTGGAATCACAACCTACAAGACATATTTGCTTTCTTAGGTTGTTCTACTAGTCTGTGTACAGGTAACCTTCATTTCTGTGTCTTTCACACTGTGATTTTAAGTAGCTGAGCTGTACCACAGTGTTGGGAAAAAAAAAACCCAAAATGCTAATTTATTATCAGATTATAAATGAACCAGTCCTGACATTGGCAAATTTGTCTGAAATATCAAAAGCAAAAAATGCAAAAAAATTCCAGCAGTCATCAAGAGATATAAATGTAACAACAATAATGCAGGTTTTAATTTTCATCCATGGCTTTATATAATTTTAGCTAAAATGTGTCTGTGGGTGTCCTTCTGGCTTAAAGAACTGTTTATCTTTGAATGTAGAGTTATTAAAAATATACCTAACTGGTCCAGGCCAGTAAGTGCATTGTGTTAAGTAGGTTAGTGCTGTCATGTAGCTGTGAAACTGTTATACAGCTTGCTTTTTACAGTGTTTATTAAGCTATTTAATTTTAGCAGTAACATTCACATTTTTGGGGGTAATTTAAATAAAAAAACTTAGCTGAAACATTGGCCATGAAGAATAAGAATATTTAAGTTTGCTATGGCCTTTAACAGTCAATAAAAGGTCAATTTTGTATATGACAGTGAACATGCAGTATGATTTTTGTCACTAACTTTTCTCAAAGATAAGTGTGCCATAATGTTTTTGATTTTCAGCTGGCCATGTGAAAAGGGGTCATCTATTGAATAATGGTAAAATGAGTTTAAAACTTAAGAGAAGGGGAGAAAAAAATTTTCCTTACGGGTTGTCCAGCAGTAATACAATGGGGTTTAGTTCCTTCTTTGGCCGGTAATAAGCTCTGAGTGGGACAATGAAGTTGTATAAGCCATTTCCAGCAGTTTCTGCTGCAACTATAATCAATTTATTTTTGAATCCATAGGCTTTGGCATCTTCATAGTAATTATGCTGGCATCCCTAAAATCAAAGTAAGAAACAAGTTCAGTGGATGTGAATATTGTATTAGATGACCCAATAGAGACCTGGTTAGCCATAAACACTAGGTGATGAAAAGGAGTAGAAAAATATAGTATTATACCAAACACTGCACAAACTTCATCTCTAAGGAAAAATCAGAATATAGCTCTGCTCAGATGCAAGAGACAAATGAGAATGCAGGGTTACCCAGTAGCATAAACTTCCTTTACCTTATCTAGTCTTAGACAACAGAAGGGTACTTTTTCATGTAGAAGATGACAAAAGGTGGGAGAACTTCCAATATAAGGAGAGTAAGGAGGATAGCCTTTGGCATACCTAAAATAGGAAAAAAAAAAACATTTTTCAGTATAGCAAATTACCAAAACACAACTCTCTACACAAATGTTTTATGGGATGTTCATACATATGTCCAAGTTTTAGATCAAGTATACAAAACGAACTATGTTTAACAGAGGTTTAAAGAACGTATTTGCATCCAGTTCAACAGAATTTAGTGAAAGCTGCCATGCTTTTGGGGACTGAAGGAATTTTGCTTGGGTTTTTGAAAATCCTCTATTGTATCACAGTATGCTGCCATAGTGTTTTGAGCTGGAAACCTCTAAGTTAAAAAAGGAAGGAAAGAAAACAGAAATAACTGTACTTCTCCTCTTCCTTCTCCAATTTTTTTTTTCAAACATTTACCAAGAATGAGTGATGTTATTACCTTTTAGCTTTAATAATGTACTTTCAGAAGGGCTGAAATAAATTCTAAATGGCAAATCCTCTTCCCAGTGATGTGAAATTTCTAATTGGCTTAGTGGTTTTTTTACAGGAGACCTTTTAAATCCTGTTGTTTCAGTCTGAACATTTAAGATGACTTGTCCTATTAATTTTTTCTCTGGAGCTTGATAATCTTCCCTGGGGCTTCTCACGCTTGCCACTGGTGGAGATGAGAAACGCTGCTGGTTGAGGCATTGGCTAAATTGTGTATTTCAGTTTTAACACCCCTGTCAACAATCCCAATAAACATAATTGCTCATATGCACAGTAGGATTGAATCTTCTGGGTTTATCTCAGTAATGCATCATTACTTTCAGTAACACACTAACAAGCATTTTGAATTAGATGGGATACTTTTGTCCCTTACTGCTTTTTTGTCATTCCTGCATTTTGAAGTCATACACCCAGCCCCAGCATTCAAAAGCCTGTTGGATGATCTGATTATCACTGCATTCTTATGACAGGAATACTTATCTGTTCACAAATTTGTTGAGTGCTCACTTAATAATTACAAAGGTAAAAAAAAAAAAAAAAAAAAAAAGGCCTTAGAATATGTTATGAATGCATTGCAATACATGACTACAGCTATTAGAACTGCAAAGAGAAAGTCTCCAGCAATTAGAAGAGTTTTTCTGTTAGGTGTTTTTGTATTTCAAAGCAGGCTTATGGTTTTCTAGCATTTCCTGGATGGAATAATCCCATAATTGTCCTTCATGAGACTTGCTTCCTAGAAGTGCTCAGATTGATAAGATTATCAATGTTTTTTATATAGCATTAACCCTTCACATCATTTTCCATTTAACGTACGTACTCAAAGCCTGCGGAGACCTCATCGTCGGACGGGGTGGTTTCATCCTCTGACTGGTCACTGAGCAGGTCGCAGGTGGGGAGGGAGGAGGAGTCAGCCACCTCCAGCACCGGGGCGATGCTGGGCCTCCTGCCCTCCTTGCCCCCCTCGGCTGGCAGGGCCAGGGTGGCCCCGCTGGCCCCACGGCACCCGGTGTCCTGTAGATCGATGGCCACGGTCCCTAGGGGCAGGGAAAGCACCTCCTTAGTGCTGCTCAGAACGTCTAAATGACACCCCCAGATTTACTGGGGACTGCCTGGCTGCACGGCAAAGGACTGACAGCAACACTGTGCTGCTTGTGTTTATTCCATTAAAATAAAACAAATATTTAAACCGTACTCAAGGAAAGCAATGCTTTTCCTGACAATTAGTCTGTGTCTTCTTGCTAACTACCTCTTTTGGATCATACCTTATATAATCAGTCCATATTAATATGCATCATCAACCTGCATATTTTACTTATGGTGTTTTTTAAATTAAACAAGCTCATGAAAACTTCCTACAAACAATCAGGTATGAATGACAAAGAAGCACTCATTATTTGACCACTTGTTTTGCTTTGCATACACTTCATTATTACTTTTTTACAGTCTTAAGTAGTTTAATTCCACCTTGTCAAGTAAAAGAGAATCAAATTCCATTTGTTTGTTTGGGGGTCTTGGTTTGTCTGCTTGTTTGTTTTTGTCTGGGTCTTTCTTTGTTTGGCTTGGTTTTTGTTGTTTGTTTGTCTACGAGTTTTTGTTAAATATGGGGCAAATGTTTGAAGTTGTTATATTAATTCTTTCTATTCGTAATTATAGTTTCTTAAAAGTTTAGGAAGATGCTTCAAAATGTACTACTCATTAAATAAGAATATATTGTGATGTAATCTTTTTTTTTTACTTACCCATGCTGGCTATTATACTGTGTACTGGTAACCTAGAAGCTCCATGATAAGATAATTTTGATTCATGGGTTTTTCCGTGCTTTTCTTGCTTCTTAAAAGCAGAATTCTCTTCTTTGGTGATATTTATATAAAAGCATATATCAGTAGAACTCATGATATATCGAGGACCTGGATTCAGCAAAATGTTTTTGTTATCTTCCTTTCTAACACCAATCAGACAGACTCCAAACCTTAATTAGAAAAGGAAAGGCATGGTTCATTTTGCATAGTCCTGCAAGCACCAGAATTTCCATTGTTAAAAATGAACCTCAGGTATATTTTTATTCTTAACACATTATGAACATTTGCAGCTTTTTGGATAACAAGGATGTTTGAAAAATGTCTTCTGCTAAATAGGCCACATCAAATCAAGCAGATTTTATGAGCTCATGAATTCCTAGGCAGTTGAGTGTTTTTCGTAATGCCCATAATATTCTCCTAATGTTGTTCCAGTTGATTTTTTTCTGTCAGATGAATAGTCCTTTTTGGGAAAATATTGGTGGAAAAATGGATACATGATATGCAAAATTATTAATCATGTTAAATTGTTCCATTATTTATAAGTAATAGAAACCATTTTCATAATTTATTTTTGCAATTCACTCTTAAAAATGTATTTGATTAGTGATAGAAAATAGGGAATTACAGCAAAAAAAAACTCTTTCTCTCCTTGATTAAATATGAGAATAACCCAGCATTTAGGGTTTGATAAATGCTTATTTTGTCAAATATATACAAACATACATGATTTGTGTTTATTTTGGATGTTCATCTCACAGAGCAGCAGTGGGTAAGTGATGCATCACCTGGACCTTAAAGTAGGTATGTTATCATCTAACAGAAAAAAGAGTTTCATGTTTGAACAATCACCAGAATGTACCATGTGACACCTTTAAGTGGAACATTTCCCATAATATGAACATGCCACAAAGGAAGCCAGATTTCAGCTGAGTCCTAAATAAATTTAAACAAACAAACAAACAAACCCACAAAAACAAACAAAAAACACCCCACATCCTCCCACCCATTCATTTCTAGATTGTTTTGGACTTGGAAAAGGATTGGTGTTCTTGAAAAACCTTCGAAAAGTGCCTTTTTTTTCCTGGTTGTCCAGCCTATTCTTTATACCTACAGATTACTATTCTCTTAGACTGAGATGGGCTGTACAGAATGAACATAACCTTTTACCTGACCAGCTCCAACTCACAGAAATATATCCATATTAGTGGCCAGGTACTTAACCCAGGAACAGATCAATGTGCAGTACTGTGCCTTTAGTGCAGAGCTGTGTAGCAGGCAAAACAATTATTTATTTCTTTCAATTTTTGATGGTTGATAAGAAAAATAAACATACTTTTTATGTGCATGGAAAGAAGCATACGTGAAACTCTTCCCCTCATACTCTGCAAAAAATGTACTTTCTTCCAGGCTGATGTGATAGACTTCATTACCAGAGCATCGGCCATACATTTTCTGCCATTGTTCTGGTGATTGCTGACTCTCCCTGAAACATAAGGAGAATAATTTAACATTTAATGCAAAATTCTAATTAATAAGAATGGTGTTTCATGTCAATAGAAACTACAAATGTCTACTGAGAAGGTTCCATAAGCTAATCTGAAAGAAGTATTTGAGATCAAATCTTGGTAATATTATAAGTACAGAGATTATTTTAATGTATTAAAGAGCATTTTCTGCTAAGTAATAGACATATAAGAGTATCTACTTTAATATCAGGAGAGAGGTGGCTCAATTGCTTTGACATCACACCATAATAAGTAGATCCATGGCAGCTTGAAGATGTCAGGTAAAACCAGTAGCATTCCCATTATATTCATAAAGTCAGTTCCTTCACATGCTTTGTGACAGACTGAGTATCATTAATAATAACTTATGTAGGAAAGAGTCATTTGTCCTTGGTCATTTGATCTGTAAGAGAGAATTTCCTGCATTTGCTTATCAGTGATCTTTATACGCTCTGGGTATTTTTGGTTCCTGTGTCTTGTAGACTATTACAATTACAGAGCTTCTCTTCTCTAGTGCAAGAAAATAAATTACAAAGCAGATCAGCCTTTACTCTATGCAGCTGCTGCCCTTAATGCAAACATTTCAGTGGAAATTTCCAAACCTCAGCAACCCCAACACTTGTAGCCCTGAAGCTCCTGGGAACTTCTTGATTAAGTTTCACACCTGCATGATTTTCGCTGGAGGTAACTGATGCATATATACACAGATATGTGCAGACAGGTCATGAATCTGACAAGTGTGTCCTGTGTTTTGCCACTTGGAGTGAAGATCTCAAGATCCTGGGACATGCTTCTTTAATGCTCATTTATACATTCTCAATACTTAACACAATTTGTATTTTTCTTCCATTTACCATGTTTCTTCACTCTCATCATGGAAACATTTTGTTTCAAGATGAAAATAAGCAAACCATTTTTGTTGCAACACTATAAATAGTGTACGAGGTATAAAACAGCAGACCTAACCATGCAATTTCAGAACATTTTCCCTTATTTCACTTTTCCCCCTAAAATAAAATGGTCACCTGTTTAATGTCTGCTTGGTTCCAGTGAGTTGTCTGAAAGCTTCCCATGGGGCTGTACTGTAAAGATCACATTAACTTCAAGTCAGAAAGGTTATTTTCTTCCAGTATTTTGTATCATCACACAAACCCAACTAGAGTTATATTACTATTTAGATAATAGGAAAACAGTTAAAGATAAATGTTAATATTAGTAATTAAGATTGATAATGAGATTTTAAGTAAGATTTAAGGTAGAATTTTGGTGTCTCACAGACTAAAGTTTTGAATTCCACAAACAGCTGAGAAGACAACAGGATTATTTGCACCTCCTTAACAGGTATTTAAAATTTGACTCCTGCATAAAGTTTAATGCAGGTGTTAATAGCAACCATTATAATAAAATAATAATTAAACAGGAACTAATGTAAAGGAAAGCAGTTCACTATTAACAATGGAAGTCCGTTTAACAAATTATTTTCATTATGTACATCTAATTTGGTTTGGTTTATAAATACATGTATATAAAATTTTTATTTGTAACTTAAATAATCTGCTTTCACCTGATCTTCTTACTTAGCCAAACTCAACTGCTCATCTGACTTCACCTTTCATATACACAAATAAAGGTAATTTCACCTACTTTAACACCTAGCAGTTAATTTATCTCTTGTTCAACAATAGAATACATCTGGAAAAGCAAAACCCTCTCTGAACTATAAATTGGTCAAATCCAAAGCAGCTTTATGTTTGCAGTACAATGACAAATGCCCTTATTTCGGAGTCTGTCTGAGAATAAATGCTCTGGAGAGTGATGACTACAGTAGATAAATACTAACTAGACATTTTCACTTTTTCGGTCTTTCTGTATAAATACAGAGGAGTATTTTTACAGTAACATATACTGTACATTCTTACAGAAACACACATTATTTTAATCCTTCTGGATTCAAAGTAATGCTACAACTGTTTGTGCAAAAACTTTCTTCTTTTTGCTCCTAGTATACAATGTCCATACTAGAAAAGTTACTTTTATTATGCTGCTCACATATATTAATTCTGATTGCAAAAGAAATCTTAAGCACTTTTGAATTCTGTGAGAGTTACTTTGCATCACAGTTGGGAATCTGTAAATTATCAATGTTATATGTTAAACAATGAAATGCTGAAGTTCCTAAGTACAGCAAAATCATTTCCCTTTTCTGTGTTTGATTTTGTGCTGAAGGAAAATTCCTTGACAATTGTTAGGAATACTGCTCTTCTCTTAGAGCCATGTAATATGAAATAACTGGAACAGGCTCTGGATTCTGTGCATATCACAGAATTAAAAGGTAGGCAGATAAAAAAAGTATAAAGAATGTATTTCACCACAGTGCTCAGCAGGTATCAAAACAATGTTTTGTTGTCTTCTTACTAGGAGATTCTATTGCACAGTGCCACTAAAATCTTGACATTTGTTGTTCTCAATAGTAACAGCTCTAGGAAGAATTTCTGGTTTTCCCCATTCTGAACAAAGGGGAATACTAGAAATGTCATACAGAAGGTTAAATAACTCTGCTTTTATATATATATATATATATATATATACTGAGTTCACGATTACTTGAAAAAGAAGTTAGGATGTTACAAGACTGATGTAGTATATATGCAGCTATTCAATTTCTACAAATATATTTAGAGATCCACTTTATTGCATCTGCGTGCCCACGACATTTCAATCAAGAACACCTTATTATTCCAAGAATACAGCATAAAAGACATACACCAGATGTGGTAAAATTATTTTAGTGAATTCAGAGAAGTTCTACTGTGACTATGCACTCTGCAGAGATACCATAATTCTGCACACCTTCCAGCAGTGTGGTCATATTAAAAATCATGTGTTTGTTTGCCTCTTAACATACAGGCACAGAAGAGCATGTCATCAAAAAAACATTTTTTTTTTTTTTAGTTAATTGAAACAGACCTTCAAATTAACCTATTAGAATAGGTATTCTTAGGACTTGTTAGTGCTCCTAAGTATAACTTTGTGATAGAGATACTTCAATCTACTAAACCAGAAATGCATTTTTTTCATATTATATATTGTAAAAGTGGCACAACAGCATGCAACAAACTCTTAAATACTGGGGGGAGGGGGTGTTCTCTTCAAAACTATACTGCTTTGAGTAAGGCATTTTGATGCTTTTATTGTGTAGAAAGTTCCATTTTTTTAAAACTGTAGTTGTGTGGGAATTCAGGGGAAACTGTTTTCCAAGTATCAGCTATGACTTTTTTCATTTCAGCTATGACTTTTTCTTTGGGAGTTTTTTATGCTAGTAAATACTTACTGTCCCCTAGATGTATGAACCAGCAGAGTGATTAATGTAGAAGTAGCTGGACATATACAATTTAGAGCTAGCATAGCATATTTGAATTCCTCTTCACATACAACATGATCTGTAGGGAAAAAAAAAGAGGATACAAATTGTTTTACAAAAATACTTTCAAATGAACAGAATTGTCACTTCCTTTTCTAAGAAAATGGTGAAGATGGATCAATCAAAAGTTGGCCCGAGATCTTCACTTTCTGCTTGAACCTTGGAAATCAGCTGTGTTTGATTCTCCCCATCTATGCTATCTAACATGGATGGCTACTGTTTTAAATCCATATCACAGTTAAATGCTCCCCAGTGCTTGCTGTTAGCATGAAAAGGAAATAGAAATTACTTTTTAATGTAATTCCCATATACCTGTGACAGTATTGAAATGGCAATAAAAAGGGATAAGCACAAAATTTCTAACTGCTTGTCAGTGTAGAAACAAAGTCAGAGAGGTTTTGTAAACCATGAAGGCATTTAATACTAAGTCAGATTTTTCCCCTCTGAATTTGGTCTTTGGTTGTTTTGATGGTTTCAGAATTTGCTTCTAATCAGAAAGATTATAAGTAGTACAGCTGATGATCAAAAACATAGGCACATGAAAATCGCTGAGTAAAGGCAGGCAAACAACCTCCCCAGCTAGACCTGAACTATGCTCATCTGCTTCTGGTTTCACCAATGTGTCACTGAAACCCTTAGAACCACCTTGCCTCTCTAAGCGGCTTTCCTGACAAAATTTATAGTATAGCTATAAGCATGACACTTCCTGAAAATAAAAGTGAAGGCATATTGTGCCTACTCTGTTCCTTTTATTTTGAAATATCTAGAGGCTTTTCAATAACAGAATCATTTACTACTGAATTGAGTAATTAATTCTCCTATTTTCTGAAGATCAGGAACTATTTAAATGTCATAGGGAAGGGATGAATTTAGTTATATAAAGACACTGTCAAATGTAGGACAAAATGAGATTTTTCTTCCTGTAAATATATTTCAGCTATAGCAATTAAATATTTTCTGCAGAAAATGTTTCAGATAGAAATATGTTCTTTTAGTTGACCATATGCCATTAATAAATCTACTTGAATTTCAAACCAGAGAGGGTAAGGCATAGTCTGTGGCTTGAATGGGGTATCTGCAGTCCATTACCATTAGTGAGATGAAAAAGATGTATGGGAGTATATACCAACTTCCTGGCACGGAAAGAAAGAGAATTCTTGCTATTTTTTAATTTGTATAGGATTTTGCCAGATATCCTCCCTCTATTTTTTGTATGGAATGTTGTCATATTATAGCTAAGCATTTTGAAAATATAAGAAAGAAAAAATACACAGGGTAATGATTTCACCATCAGTTATTTCAGATCTTGTATTTGAACCCAAATGTATATACTAGCCTAAATATATACCAATGGAAGTTAATAAATCACAGATGGCACAATGAAGATGAAAACTGTAACTTCCATCTCCAGATGCACTCTACTCCCTAACGTATATGGTGAACTTTTTTAGCAGATGTTTATGTAAAATATAATCTTACCAAACAATACAGCACACAGCAAACAGAGACTGCTGTCTTACAACAGTCCCTTAATCATGTCTGTAAGAGATTCACATGGTGTTGTCAAGTGTTTTCACATCAGGAGCCATGGAGCTGGACTTGTGGACTATTTCTGCACCTGCTGGAGACTTTGACCTTCTGCAGGTAAGTTCTTGTATTAAACACAGGTCAAAAATGCCTTGCTCATTCCTCCAATTATTTGACAGTTTATAGCATTCCTATAAACTTACTCTGTTTTCTGTGTATGCTCAGGACTGGTACTGAGGAGGATTACACAGAACTTCATCTGCTGCACCTTTCAGAAGGGAGCAGGGAGGAAGCTGGATGACAGCTCTCCAGCTCTCCCACTCCTCAGGTCTGGGACTTCGGCTGTGTCCCCTGACAGCAGGTACCAGAATCAGCAAATTACTCATCCACTGTGACAGCGAGGCAGCCCAGGAAATTGCAGTTTGTCTCAAAGTGAATATTAAATATGTCAAATCAGCTTGCCAGAAAAAGCAGTATTTTGATTGAGTTTATACTAAAGAAATATTACACGTAGAATTTCTGTAAGTTAACGTTTCTGTTGAAAATATATTTTGACAGAAGTTTTGTTGCTAAGTCTGTCTCAAATGGATGTAGTAATGCAATGGGGTGAGTTATGGTTTCTGTGATGTTACTGAGGAGAAAACAGACTCAAAATACTGATTTATGCCTGCAGCAGCAGCCATGTGGTAAGAATGACCTAGACCTAGCGTAATTATTCTGAGAAACCCTGCTTTTGTCAATTTGATAAGTTAACATGACCACTACCAGATCTGATAGAGAAAAATGCCCATCCATTATCTCTAGACTATTTTTATCTGTAATTGGACAGATTAATCATCTGCTGCATTCAATATCCATTTTGATGAATCTGGACTATGTTTCTTTGAAATAAACTACTGAAGCTTTGATGTCAGATTTCAACAATCTGTGCTAATCCATGGGTGCCTTTTGAATAAATAGAGAATGTCAAAATGTATCCCTATTTCCTGGAATTGTAATTATATATAATTTCCAAATATTCAAAGTAAAGAATACATATACACACACATACACATACACAAAAATTATAAAAGTTTTAAATTCAGCTCAGAAAATATTGAATTTAGTAGTTTCTGAATTGCATAAATATATTGCACCCAGTGGAAAATCTTCACTTTATTTCTCATTTGTACTGAAATGCAAGGCCAGGAGCTTGCACCAAGGGTACATGGCCTTTTGTAGCCTTATGTGTTTGACAGAGAAGTGGGAAGATTAAGAATGTAACTGCCAGCATTATTGAAAGAAAAACTGGGCATGTCAAGACATTTTTATATTGGAAATTACTAGGGAGAAATCAAACTATTTCAGCTTAAGAGATAAGGCAGTTGCCCATCTGGTCACTGTCATGTTAGTAGTGGCTGTGTATTTGAAGTGTCTACACCTTAAACTTGCAAAGGGCTTTGCTGGGATCAATATTTATGCCACTGTAGCAATGTAAGTATGTTAATATTTTAAACAAAGTTGTTAAAATCCACTGTAAAAAATATCAGAAGGCACAGAATGCAAGGATGTGTGTGTGGCATCAGGTGGAAAGTCAGGAAACCTGACTTTCTGACAGGTCATATGAGCCTGGCCAAGGTGCCTCCATGCTCTTGCTTCAAGGAAAAAAACAAGTTCTCATTCTCTCATTAAAGACAGGGAGGATGTTTAAATCTTGTTTACAGGATGGGAATACATTATAACAATTACTTTTCCCATATACCATTCCCTACTCCTATAGGAACATGTAGTCAGTATCTAAATTTCAGGACTGCCTCATGCAATCTAGGAAGACTGGTCAACCTAAGAGAAGCTGCTGAGAAACTGTGCTTCTAGTGCTTTATGCATTTTTAATGTAGTTAAAAGTTAAACTTTAGTTAGGAGGACTATCTGGTTGTATTTCTTCTAAATTAAAAGAATTCATTTTTTACAGCTCTAGTCCTTAAACCTGCGTGTAAAGAAAAAAATAAAAGGAAGAAGCAGAAATCCTATTACTGAATATTTCAGGTTTATAAAAATGCCCAGTATTGTTTTGGGAAACCTCTGGAAGAAAACAGTATTTTTTTCAAGGAATATCAGATTTAAAAGAAGCTTTTACATTACGGCAGTAATAAAGCAGCTCTGAATCATAATAGGAAAAGCACTTAGAAAAATGTTCAGATGGTTGCGACAAATTTCACTTGTAAACACTCTGGACAGGTCTGTAGTCTGCAGCCCCCACTGGGTACATGTTTCAGGATGATGAAGTGTTGGGTGACATTAATACCAAAGGGAGATCCTCTTAGGAAAATGTATGCCAAAAAATACTGTTCTGATGGTTCCAGCAGTGTTTAACCATTTGCAGTAGGTGAGCATCCAGTGGTGATGCTGAAGTTCAGCTGAAAGAAATTTAACCAAAGGAGGTTTTCTGGGTATTTTGGTTGGATTTTTTTTTGTTTTGTTTTTGTTATTTTTAAAATATGCTCCAAATTCTATAACACTTCAAAAAGACATGAAAAATTGCCTCTTTTAAAGTCTAGTTGTATATAAGCTCCTACAGAGACAAGCCATTAGGAATAATGGAACTCTCTTAAAAGCACAATTTGGAAGAACAAATGAACATAGTTACTGATAAAGGAAAGCGGCCATGGCTAAGGGAAAAGGGATTATGTTTGTGCTGGGTGGTTTTAAGAGGGAGATGAAAAAGTACCATCATTCTCATCACAGCATGAGCCTTATTCCCCTCTGTGCCATCTCATAGCTTGAGATTACACTTTTATAACTTCAGAACTGCTACTGATGGGGTTTTTTCTTCTTTCTAACCCAGTGGTAAATTCCATAGCTTTTAAAATTACAGCTTTAACTGTTGCTCTGGAGCCCTTCTGCTGGAATTTACTTTTTCATCACATTCTGGGATGATGGAGGAGACTAATATTTTTCCATAGAGTTGATTTTATTTTTGCATGAATCAGCAATCTTTTCTTCCTTGGAATATCATTCAAGAAAATTGAATTTTCAAAATTGCAGCTAAAAAGGAAAGCGTCTCTTCTAGTTCAGAGCTATTTCTCCAAAAGTATTTGTGTGTTTTTGCACATGAGCATTTGTACATCTATATACTTACATATGTGACTTTTTGGATATAGACAGAAGGAGAAACATATAATGCAGAGAAATAGTTTGTCAAATAAAAGTTGGTAATCTCTTCTTATAGGAGTGGATTTTCTTGGATTTCTTAACATCATTTTGCATTTTATGCCATGGTTTCTAAGGCATGCATTTTTTACTAGATACAGAATTAAATTATATGTCTCTTTCCAAAATATTTGCAATTAAAATCATATTTTCCATAAAAACAATCCAATTAGATTTTCTCCTCAATCATTTATTGGACTAAATCTGAATAGATCTTCTTATACACCTCTTAGTAACTATGTTTTAGTAGACAGAAATGAATTACAGCCAGAGGTATAGTAACCTGAAAACTTACCTGGATCTGGAATAAAGGAGTAGTTATACATCAAATAATCAAGCTCTCTATATTATGTAGCATAAGACTATTAATTCTTAAAAGTGCTTGTAAGTAAGTCCTTACCCTTGCTAGGATGTGTATTATTTTACAAAACTGCACAGTTTCCAAGTAGTAAATATGCCCAGGGATTCTCACTTTGCCTGTGTTCATGAAACAAACTGTCAAACACTATCGAGTGCTTCAAATGCTTGCAGTCTTCCACTTACCTGCAAACTTGATGTGGAATTTGTTCTCAGGCTTCAGTATCTGAACATACAAAGGACAATTTGGAGCAAAGTCTTTAACTGCCCATGCTCTTAAAATGGTTTGGTGATCCTAGAAGAAAGAGTGGGGTTGGGGGGGTGGGGGGTGCCAATGAAATACAAACAACCATGTCAGATCAGAAAAGGATATTATCAGACCTGCACCATTGAAGAAAACTCATTTTAAGACCATGTGGCACCAGCTGGTATGAATGTTTATGTGCAAGTTATATAATTACTACTACTTATTAATATCCAGGAATCTTCCACTAAATAAGGTATTTTGAACCTCTCATATCTTTCTGCAAATGCTAATGATTGTGTTATTTGGAAAAGGGTAGCATTTGGATATGGAATGATTGTGTGAAAACTTAAGATGGCAATGATTAGTCATGTCCAATTAATCAAGAATTATATAGCATAGATGTCCTTCCAAATAGACACATAATTAAAATAGCATTACATGACAACACCAGGAACTGAGAGTTTAAAATTGTGGGTAATGCTAAAAATATCAGTTTCATTAAAAGCAGATCTGAATTTTTGTGGAACTAAAACATTTGCACAACTGATGTCAGGATGTAGCCAGCTATTAACCAAAGATTCCAAGAGATTTTTCAGGCTGTTAGTTTTTGTTCTTGTTACCACACAACAAGAAGGAGTTAACTGCAAGGGGAAGTGCTGCTATCCATAAAAGTCATCTATGCATCTATAATGCATTCATGTTTTGAATTTTGTGAAGTAGGACTAATTCCAGTTTTATCATCCATCCTTGTTTTGTTTATTTCAAAACAAAAAGAAATAAAGAGCTATATGTAGGAAGCCATGCCTGGATTGAAATGCCTTGCCTTGTCATGAAACTGGTTATATTTAAAGATAAAATATAAAGAATGATTTCATTATGATTTCTTACAGCATCAGCAGTAAGAAAAGGTTTCAGACTCCTGAACACAAGGGAAAATCTCTGCCTGGAATAGAGTGAAATTGGCATTTTCAAACCATAATATTTTATTATCAATTGAGATGTTAGCAAGAACTTTTTCTACTAGAAAAACTAGAATGGAGTCATAAGAGGATTGCAAAATATCTTATTTCACATTTTTCTTACCAGTAGTTTAATAGGAGTAGGATTGTTCTGCCCAGTCAGGAGATTTAAAAGCTTGGGTTTAACCCGCTGTATGTTTTCCTTGTATGCAGCCACATTTTTTTTTTTACTTTTCTATAACATATGGCAAATTACCCTCCTTGGGATTTTTTTTGGTGTGTGTGTGTGTGTGTGCTGTTGGGTTTTTTCTGTTTTTCTCAAGGTAATGACACAGCAACACAGCTTAGAAGCAGCAAGTGACTGGTTAATATGCTAGATGGTTGTCACATAGCTATGTTACATGCTTAGAAATATAGTTGTCTCTATGTTAGATATTTTATTGGATTTTTAAATTATATTTTTAAAGCCTGTTTTTATCAGAATATGCCATGTTTGTTAAATATAAGACTGAAGATCTCATTATAAAATGATTCAAATTACACTATTTAGTTAAAAATTCAAGCAAGCCATACCAATTCAGGGGGTATGCACTGTTCATCTAATGACCTTGCATTATTGTTTCTTTTTTCTCTTTCCACTTGATCTATCCCTATGTTTGTGTACAAAAGCTTGTTATTTGGTTCCCAAGTTTTTTGCTCAGTTATTCTCCCTAATTCCACCCTGAAGAAGCACTCCAGGGGAGAGAAAGAAAAATACAGGTAGGCATCTTAAGTGATTTCTTAGATTCAGCCTCTTCATATAGTACTGTGGCTCTGTATTTTAAAAATGTAGCAATTTCTATGCTATATTGCAGTCACTTTAAAAAATGTTCACCTTTCTCCCAGTATGCCATGGTTTTGGGAAACTATGTACCACAAAACATGGTTTTGTGTGTACATATGTACACACAACAAACACAGGTACCTGTGTTTGTTCCCATTAATAAATATTTATTTCTTTGGAAGGTGAGTGGAAAATATATTCTCTTCTATGTGACCTCCACACAATGAACTGCAGTCAGTGATCAAAAAATTACCACAGATACAAATGGTGATTAATACAGAGGTGATATTTAAGTTCACGTATGAAAAGCTGCAAGTTTTAGAAGTGGGTGTATTTAAATCATAAGAACTCAAGGAAATGCATTTAATATGTATTTTAAAGTGATTCTGTTAATTGAATCTCCTTTTTGCCAAACATAACTTGTTAAATTAGTTATATCCTGCTATGTTTGCATCTATATTGTGATGCCATTAAGGCACTGTAATTTAGATTACCAGTACAGCAGAGTCACACAATTTGATTAATGAAAGGGAAAAAAAAAAAAAGGTGCAAGTTTGAATTGGACCATCTCTGAATTTTCCAAAAGCCTCAGAACAAAGCTGTCAGCAATAGCAGAAGTGTTGTCACTAGAAGTTATTAACTAACAAAATAGCAAGCAATCAATAGCCAGGGGTTTCCATAGCAAATGAGTAAATCTGCTTGAGCACTGTAGCTGGGGGGATAAAAACCCTCACAGGATTCAAAAAATCACTTGAGTAACAACAGCTTTTCTGGTCAGGAATCTCCTCCTTTTATTTTGACAGCTGTCATGCACAGGAGAGGATCCAAGGCTCTTTTAGCAGTTTGTCAGCTTCTCAACAACAGCAGGGTGGAAAATCAGTTGTACTTATAAAGACTGTTACTGGGATGACAGCTGAACTTCCTTCAGCCCTGTGATAAACCAACCTTCTGTACACTAACATGAGGCTGGAGCAGTGGAGGAAATTCAATAAATTTCATTTCACAGCCCTAGGGGGCAGCAAGACAAAATGATTTTTAAAAAATTTAAGAATTTTCTACTTGCAGTGTAAGTAATTGCATTCTCTGTGAAAAGGTAATCTGACAGCAAAAGACATAACAAGGCAGAGAGGTGACACTTTGTTTCAAAGCTTCAGATCCCACTGACCCTGAGATATCACTGTGGCCCAGGGGAAGAGACCAGGAGTCTGTGGTGAGATGTGCCTGTCTGTGTGCTCCAGGTACAAAGAGAAATGGGATTTGATAGGTCTGTAGTGGCAGCTGAAGTGTGCCAGGTACCACTCTGATGGTTCCTGGGGGCAGACAGGAAGAGCTGCAGTGGACTGAGCCATACCTGCAGCATGCTGGTCACAATGGATGGGAGCTCTGGGAGCTCCATGCAGAGCCCACTGCTGCCCTACAGCACAGTCCAGCAGAGCTGAAAATTGTCTCTTCTTTGCATAAAATCTAAAGCAGTTATGAGCAGAGATGAACAGCTGACTGGTGGTGTTGCTGTCCTTAATGCTGCATAAACCTTCCCAGTGTAATGTAAATCACACACTCTGATTTTATGGGATTTCTATTTGTAACCACGGTGCAACTCTGAAGTGCATTATGTGAAATGAGATGTTGTAGCTGATTTATTCTGTCATGGCTGATTTAGATAAGACAATTGGGCTATTTTGGAATTTCTCAGTCTCCTAGAAGTCACAGGTACTTTTCAAGGTATTTCCAAGAACTCTTGCTTGTTCCTAATTTTAAATATCCCAGACCCTTTGTCACTCCCAAGCAGTAGGTCTGCCTTGCTTGACTGCTCTGGGATTACTTACTGCCAGTTCAGTGCCTTTCACTGCTGTATTTTCAGGAGTTTATTGCTGATTAATCAAATTCAAAGTCCTTAGGTCAGTAAGTTTAAATGTTATAGCAAGAGCACAGGTTTATGTCTCAGGGAACTCAGTGAATTTCTGCAAGGGATGGGTCCAGAACAGGATCTTTAGCTAAGCTCTTTTAACTAAGTTCTGATGCCAGATAAACTAGTAAGTGATAGAAAATATATTAAGTAATGCTATAGATATAATGCAAAGCTCTCATTTCCCATTTTTAACTATATCTCTTGTCAACATTTAGGAAAATAATTGCTATTTCTTACAATGTAGCACCAAAACAGTATTTTTAGTTGAGATTGCTTAAAACATAATTACTGAATTATAAATACTGGCTCTGTCTTGTTAGGTAATTCATAAGCACCTTCAGGGATATTCAGACTAATACTGAACCCCTTTGGACTTCAAGATTGAACTGAATGAGGCAAGACTGCAAGAATTTACTGTAGTACACATGGTGAAAGATTTCAAGTTATGTTCATAAATCCATCCTAAGTGGAATTTTGTTCTGGATATCTGTGATCGGTAGATAATTCCATTATCTGGAAGACTTCTAGTTCATACAGTTTTATTCTTTTTCAAAGAGGCACTGCACAGAAGTTTGTATTAGCTGTGTTCATTTGTGGACAGTAACTTACCTGACTGCAAATAACAACTAGCATGGGCAAACCCATAGAAACTTATTTAAAGAATCTTGCCATTTTTCTTTTTTTTTTTAATTGGCCAATATGAAAGAAAAGTTGTCAAATAGTCTCATATATATTGGTTACTTGTATTAGTCACAAATTTATATATAAAGCTGAGTTCAGGCTTTACTTTATTAGTTGTGAGTATACTAGTTAGTTGATGTCTCTTTTCTGATTTAATAAATACAACTGATTAAACTGAATATCTACAGCAGTTCAAGTACTTTGAATATTGACAGAGTACCATTCTTGGAAGTGATTAATGACCAGTTGTCAATGTATCTATGTATCTACTATGAGAGTACTTTTATGCTATTCTGCCCTTGTTGCATAAAGAAGAGCTGAGAGGGGAGTAAGGGCAGTAAAACCTTTCCATCCTCTCATTTTTCCTTCCCCAACTTACAGCTGCTGTCCTGTCCACCTCACAGCGACTGCTCAGGATGAAACAGGCTTCAGCATTGTCCATCCTGGAAGAGAGGAGACAAACCTGTCACAGCTCAAGCAGGTACTCGTGTCTCACAGTCAGAGTCATGCACAGAGAAACGGAACACAAATTTGAGTCTCTTCTCAGTTCTTACACTGATGACAGTAAAAGCTGTGTCCAAGTAGTAAAAGCAGAGTGGCCTCAACCTTAATTTACAAAGTATTTATCTGTCATGAATATGGAAAGTGAATAAACAGCACCAGTCTGCCTGGTGTGTTAAGAGTGCAATATGCACAAGTCGTTAGTGGTAAGAATGAACAAGAGGGGGCAGATAATAGACTTGTCTTGCCTAGTGAGAGCAGAAAGTTCAGTAGATGTACATGAATAATGTGTTTGGCATAAATGACAGCCATTTCTGTGTACATATGCATTAAATGAACTATTCTAGTTCACTATGTCTTTGATTAGAAGAAATCATGGGAGCTCTATGAGTAATTTCAGCTAAGCAAAGGGAGTAGTCCTGGGAAGACAGGGTCTTTACCAAAGTTTCAGGAAAGAAAATGCAATAAAATTAGATGAGATTTTGTTGCAAAAATGTAGTCTTGTTAATTGGCTATTCAGTACTGATGCAGTCACCCAACTGTTGGTATTCCTTTACTTTTTGGTGTTACCTTTATCGTGTTATTTTGACATTGGTTCACATATAAAATATGTGAACATTTTGATAATGAGACCCTTCTTGATTATTTTGTTGTTGTTGGTAAACATAACTTTATTTATTAGAAGAATTTTATCATGTGCCTTGTAAGCTCCTCAGTACATTATGTTCTCATTAAAAAGAAATACACCAAACATCTCGGGTACTGGGTACTTGGTTCTAATAAATTCCCACTATGCTTCTTCCCTCAGGAGAGGTTGAAAATTATTCTGTGACAGGTACATTCAATTACATGTTCTGCAGGAAAAAGCACAGTTCCATAGCTGACTACCTAGGTTATTATAAGTGAAATTCAAGATTATATTTAGGGAACAGCCTAATTTTAATTCTTGTAATGTGTAGAACAAATGTCAGCTAAATCCACATATGAATTCCTTCTTGAAATCAGCAAGAAAGCAAAAAGAAAAAAAAGAAAGGATCTCTCCAAAAGAAAATTTCTAATCCTGAACAAAGCTTTCTTGTCTTGTCAAATTTTAAAAACTGTTTTTTCAGTGGCAGAAGTCTGAGAATGTAAATGAAGCTTCTCACAGATGAGATTCTTGGAAATAACTCTCCTCAGGTAAAGAATGACACAAATAGCCAGACAAGTAATGGCTTAATTTTAGTTATCTACAACACAGAGCAATGCAGATGAGTTAAATCAGTTATTTGCTAGGAATCACCTTTCCCTCTCTTTGGAGAGTTTAAAGAGATGACCCTTCTGCATGAATTCCACTGTGAATTCCTTTGCAGCTCAGCTGATTGAGCCTCACTGGTGTGTGTGAGGAACTGTACTTGACTGATGTGTTTTGATAAATGTCATTCACTATTAATTGGCAGAGAGCATCTCTTAGAAGTGGTGGAAGTATGTGCTAAGAGGAGGGCCCTGAAGAGTTCAGGTATGTATAGCAGAACAGCTGCTTAAAAACTGGCTGAACTTAAAAAAACAAAACTGTATATTGGGTTCAAAATTTCAGATATTAAGGAAAACAAGTTCTATCAAAGAGCTTTGCTTCGCCTTCTAAATAAACATGGCCTTCCTTCTAGCACAGCTTTTGTTGCTTGTTAAAGTTATTTATCAAACAGTATGAATGAAAAAGCAAAAAAGAATGGTCAATATTTGCCTACTTAGCTCTCAATAGGTCTTGATCTTTTAGGGCTGAGCCTTGCAGGTAGATAACTCTTTGGGACCACATTGGGATTTGTAACACCCTTCGGACCTGAGCATCCATCTCCGTAGGACACAAAATAACCACATAATAGTCCTGTCAAAATAGAAAAAAAAGGGGAAATAGTCATGATTAATGTTGCTGGAGAATGAGTCAACAGTGACTTGAGATGTCAAAAATGTCTTGGATAAGACGCTGACAGGCAGAATTTATTTCCTCAAAATTTCCCCTTCAAATTAATGGGCCAATCCAAACTGCTTCCTGTGCTACTTGGAAAAGAAAAAGCAAGGATGGTTTGAAGGATCCTTAAGTGTGCAAATGAAAAGGACGGATAAATGGAATGTGGGAGACGAGAGTGAGAGCTTAGGCCAGGCTGGTCACAGAAATCTTCCTTTCTGCAACACAGAGATTTCTGCAGAGAGGAAAATGGCACTGGATGCAGTACAGCATCTGTATTCTTCAGCCTCTCAGTGCACAGAAACATTAAATCTGGAAAAGATCTCCAAGATCATTAAGTCCAACTCAATTTCAGCTGTGAAGGGAATGTATATAAGCCCTTTTAAGCTACCTGTGTAGTATTAGAGCTTTTCTTCTTTGTTTCCAGTGTATCACAGAGCCTGATTCATTCTTCAGCTTAGTTAACAAAATGTTGCATTTCAATTTCTGCTTGTATCTATAAAGGACTGGATTTCTTTGTGCAATAGCTTATGCCTCTTACTAGCTAATTGTTTTGGGGAATATTTTGGATTTGGGATTTGGCAAATTGCTGCTCAGTCATTTGAGGGTTGTATTTGTGTGATTCTTGCAGTATTTAATGAAGCATGATACCACAGGTAACTTAGTAAAAGACACAGAGAAGGTTTACTAAAAGGGAGAGTCTGTAGCAAAGACAACGATAATAAATCCAAATTGATATCTCATGGAAATAAGCCTCTAGGTGTTCCAAATAAGCCATGTGACAAGTCTGCATTACCTAGGGAATATGTGCACACTTAACAAAATCTGTGTATTCTGTCAACATCTTTGTCCTTTAAAGTACATGAATTTGTTTTATTAATTTCCACAATTCCAAGAGGATCTTATCTCTGCAATCCTGTACAATGTGCTCTAGGGTGACCCTGCCTGAGCAGGGAGGTTGGACCACATGATCCCCAGTGGTGCCTTCCAACCTGACCAATTCTGATTTCTAACGCTGGCAAAAAACAAAGCAAAACATGAAAACCAAAGGATGCTTTTAATTGTGAGGAACTTTGGAGGATCCAGTCCCAAAACAATGGGAAAAAATAAATTCAATAGCTTTCATTTATTTTCTGTTTTAGGGTAGAATCTAAGGAATTTGCATAGAAATACCTGTTTCTAAAAAGTCTGACACAATTAAACAAGACACTAATTCTACCTATTTAGTCTTTTCCCCTCAATACCTCAATTTAAAATGCCTCCAAACTCTGTATCTCAGCTTCTTACTGCAGGTATAAATTCCCAATTCACATATCTCTTCCCAAAATCAGTTTTACGAATTAAAAACAATTTCAGAAACCTTTCTTAAAACAAACAAACAAAAAACAAAAACCAAAACAACAAACAAAATGTTTTGAGGGGTTTATTTGTTTGGGTTTTTTTTCCATTCTCAGTACCTGCAGTCTGGGGTGGGCATAGAACTCATTTAGGAAATCCATGAGTAAGTCAATCTTCAGAGAGCTCACACACAGCACAACGTGTTTTTCTGTCTGAGCTCTGTATCTGCTGTAGTTTCCTCCGGACTTTTGCCTCTCCATCCACAAATATGCCAGCTGTTCAAACTGCAAGAGATGCTGATTGTCAGTGAAACAGAGACCAGTAGGTGAGCATTACAATTCTATAATGACTTGGCAATGTTGCATTGCTCATCTCATGCCCCTATGAAAAGCTGCCCTTAGCCCCAGTATCTTTTTCTTTGTAAAATGTTCTCTAATATGGTGATCACAAACCACAGCAATAGTGCCAGAATCTAACACACACAAACAGCAGTGAAAATTCATTAAAATACCATGGGAATACACTAAATCACAGGAGTTTAGAAAATAATGAAGGCTGGTACCTTATTCCTTTAAGTATTTTATGCCTCTGAGCTGTCTTTTTCTAGTATTGTGACCTAATTGCTTTCCTCATATGAAAGGTTAATTTTCACACAGATACGTGAATATACTTGGAAAGAGGCACCCTTTTTTCTTAGTTTGGCATTAACTCTTCCCAGAGATTTTATAATATTCTGAAGGTGATGTTCTGTAAACTCTCTTATCTGCCTTATAATTTTAGATACAACTTCAATACACAGCAGCTGCTAATACAGCAAGTTTGCCTTTGTCAGCTGAACAACATATGCAGGTATGAAAATACTACAACAGTTTGCAAAGAAACATACAAATACCAGTTCAAAGATTCTTGTAAGTAAGACATGCTTAATACTGAGATCAATTTAGCTGTATGGCTGTGTGATAGCATCTTTTTCTCCTCCACATTTCACTGATGGAGAGGCTGGATCGTGAATAATAACTGATTTCATTTCATTGCAGGGCTCAGGAGAAAATGCCTCCCACTCCATTATGTGTATGGAAAACTATAAGAAGCCCCATTATCACTACAAAGGCATAAAATAAAGTAGCTAATAATGGTAAATTTATGTGAAATTCCAGTAGATTCTAGGTTATTTACTGCTCCTGTGGAGCTCTCGGGCCTGAAGTATTTATCAGAACCACCTTAAGGATGAAATGTGCATGTCCCAGGAAATTTCAAATTTCTTAAACAGAGCACATTTTAGTTTTCAACAGAATATATATTTTACTAATTTTTCACTGAGTGAGAATATAATTGTAGGGGTGCATATGGCTATGAATACATACATTCAATATTTAATTAGAGTGTTAAATAACTTCAAGAAAATTAATGCTGAAAGCTTGAGCTTCCACCCTCCCAGGGTTTATGTGTTGTCTGCCCACACTGAGCTTTAGCTCTCTGCCAAAGAAGCAGAGGAAACTATGGCTGTGTGAGAAACTTTGGAGCTTCATGGTCTAGCAGGTCTGCTGTAAGCTTTGATAAAAACAGAGTGTCTCCCCACATCCTCTTTTTCTGGCACAAGGGCTGGGTGATCACCACGTGTGCAACAGTGAACATCCTGGCAGGGTTTCCCATGTAACTTCAGGGTTTGTGCCATCCAGCCTCACCTAATGAGCTGGAAAATGCTTGGTACAAATTTAATAAAGCTGACTGACTCCTTGAAGTACTTGGATTTTCATAAATTGCTCTTTCCCTGTTGAAACTGTTAGAAGTCCTAAACTTAGGCAGGCATGAAAAATTCCTAACTGTGCTGCTGGCTCTGTGTGCATGTGTTCCATACACAGCTGTGAACCCAATTTGCTTGAGTTGCAGATTTAATGAGATTTTTTCAAGTTAGCACTGAACTGTAAGAGTAAGAGAGGAAGTGGAGACAACCAAGATTAGAAACAGGGAGAGCCTGCAGAGGAAAAGCTGTACTCATAAAGAAAGTGCTGGCTACTGTTGTGGGTTTTTTTTGTAATTGCTCCATTAATAACAAACCCATATCTCAGGATAAAGGAAGGCCTCTGTGGTACATGACTGGTGCAGAAAACTTTCATCAGCACCTGAAAATTATTATCAGTGCCCTGTTTTTTAGTATAAATCTAGAGTATAGGAGAACATACAAGAAAAAAGAAAAAAAACCACAATAGAAGAGATAGATAGTTCTTTTTTCTGACATTTTCCATGCAATAATAATAGTAACAGTAAATTATTGTTAAGTTATTATTTCAGTTATTGTTCCTTTGTTTCAAAAACAATTCTAAAGAGAAAAAAAAAATCCATGTTTACCTGTATGGGCAACACCACAAGAGCAACACAGATCATAATGACAACAAGCAGCTTTGAAGGCCATATCTTGGGTGTAACATCCCCAAAGCCCACAGTAGAAAATGTCACTATGCAGAAATAAAGGGAGTCAAAGAGAGTCAACCTGTTTCCTGCTCGTTCCAGATGCTGAATTCCACAAATACTACGTAGAAAAGAATGAATAAAGACATGAAAAATAAAAACTGTTCAAGCTTGATGATTATACTTGCAGAGAACTATTTTCAGAATTCATAAATTGCTTAGCAAAAACATTTTTTTTCAAAGAAAAGTAAAAATTAGTATCAAACCAGAAGAGCTACATTGTTACAATTTTCAAGTGTCATTTGTAATAAAAGAAACACATTTTTAATTATTCTAATATGATAGGCACAACTGTTGCTAGGTTTTGCTTATTGGCTGTTGTGAAGGAGAGGTGGTATATAGAACATCATGGATTGATGCAATTCCTTTCTAAACCAGAACAAAACAGATGGTATAGAGCTGCCACCATTCAACATTTTTTATAGATATGTTTCAACTTTTTCAGGGAGGTTTGCTGCCGTGGCCAAGAAAAGTGCACATACAGCTTTCTGTAAATCTGTCTCTGTGTTGGTCTCTGGCCCTTTCTGTGGCAAAGTTACTGATGTGAACCAGTTCTGAGGGCACACCTTGCACATTGGGAGGCTTCTGTTGTACAAGTGGGTACTGACTGTCTGGAATGAAGTGAACGTGGGAACTGCAGACTACTGAATTATCAGAGGAAAGAGCATCCAGGTCAGCCTTCAGGTAGGAAGTGGGAGGTGACAATTGGTGAGTTTCTGCTCAATGGAAGTACAGAGTAGAAATACGGGGCTTGGCTGGGTCTGCAATAGCAGAGCAAGTGGAGTTCACCCCTTCCAGTCACACATTCCTGAGAAGAAGTAAACAGCAGCCCAAGCTAACTGGCAATTATTTTTCTTGGAATCAGCAGGATGTGCTTTTGGTAACAGAATCTGTAACGGAATCTCTCCCCAGGTCATCCTGCTATTTCAAACACTTCAAATTTCAAAAATATTTCACTTTGTAAATACATAGCACGGCAAATTGCTTCCCAAGCTTAAAATATGATCTTCTCTGATACAGTGGAATTACTTAGTTCAGTTCAGGCTTTTAAATGATATTCAACTAAGTATAAAAACCCCAATGTGTGAACCACCCTGAGCAGCACTTTTTCCCCTTGGAGCTAGCAGGATGATTTCTCCTCAGAGAATTAGATAAATAATTAATAAATCATATTCCTCAGTAATTATTCTAGAACATACTAAATATTATTTCTTCATATATGGTATCCAGATGGTAAGGGTCCTTCATTAATATCTGCCATGGAAAGACCTTTGCATCACCAGGGAGACCCTGTGTTTATAACAGTGTTAGCAGTTGTTCTTCTTTTCTCTGTTCTGTTCTCCAAATATAATTTAGCTGTGGGCAGTGGCATTTCCAGAACATATGGATCAAATTCCCTGTTTCCTTTTCACAGTTCTAGCATTTGTAGTTTTCACACATCTCAAAATGTTCTAAAAAGGGTTGGTTTTTTTTCCCTGTTGTTTGCCTAAGTTTCATACTTCAGTCAGAATTGATATTTATATTCCTATCCAGTTCATCCCACATTTTTCACTGGAGTTGTAATCCAGATCTTCCATTATTTCACTATGTTCACAGTTTTGCTGGGGTTTTTTTTTGGTCCTTTTTTTAGTAAAAGGATAATTATATTTTTGTCCCTGAAAATACTAACAGAAGGAATGTAAGTAATTATGCTAATGAAGCTTTCTTTTGGTCTCAGACAAGGAAGTTTCTCAAAAGGCTTTTCTAGTTTTAATATGAAATAATGAAGTATATTGTAAAGGCACTGAAGCATGGAAAATTGAGCTATTTTAATATCAATATTCACATAAGTTACATGTAGTTTTAAAAGCAGAATGCAGATGGATTTTAAATTCTTCATTTTTATTATTCCTACTCACCTGTGTGCATTTTCTTCTCTCTAGTTGCCTTTTGTGGATATATCCCAGAAATGCATAACCTTAATTTCAGGAATTAAGCTCATAAGGGCCAGAAAAGCAAGTTACACTGAGCCAGGGATATTGTTCCCCTCCAACAGGACTACTACACCATTGCCCTCAGCAGATTAAATATCTGCAGATGGGGTTGTAGTGAACCTTAATGCATGAGCCTATCATTGGTAGAAATGTGTTTTTTCTGGTGCTCATACCTGTGAAATTGCTTGGTGTTTGTAAATGCAAAAGGGTCAGCTTTACTCCTTGTAACTGACAGGATGGATTAAAATATAAAAATTTGTGCCATCAGGCTGTTTTTTTCCTAATTTTCAAGGAATTAGAATTGTTTTTTTATTTCTTGCTTTTTTTGTAAAACCTTAACCTTTTTCAATAGCTTGATAATAGGAAAATTCAGGAAAATTCAGGAAAATTCAGGAATTATTGTTGTTGTTATTATTAAGATTTCCATAGCCTGCCCACCCAATCATACTTTAGTTGAATTGAAATAACATAATATACCATGAACCATTTCAACCTTTTCCAAGTGAACAACAGAATTCCCGTTGAATTTAGTGAGATCAAGATTTCATTTGATCAGCTTTACCCCCTTAAAGGTCTGTGTATTCCTTTTTCTTCCATCAAATTAATGTGCCTGATCCAAAATGTTGTGAATTTGAGATGTTTCTCATCGAACTCAGTGGGCATGAGCCAGAGCTTCCCACATTTAGTTAACAATATTAAAGTCAGCAAGAAAAGGGAGCTGCATCTTTGCTGAAGAAGAAATTCAGCTTTTTTAACAACTTGCTGATCAAATTCATTTATTTCCTCAAAATTATTTGCACCTCCTTTGCAGTTCTGCCAAACTGCACTTGAAGCCCTCAGCCTGCATACATGGGAATGATAAATCCAAAATCAGGTTACCAAGTCTGGGAGTTTTGGTGCTCTGCTGTTTGTCTTTACTGGAACCAGAGAGCACAAAATGCAGGGAAAAACCGATTTTCAAAGAGACAGCTTTAAGGGAGTCTAATTAAAAATTAAAATATTACCTCTGTGACTACTCTCCCAAGAATATTACACTTTCAGCTCACCAACTATGCCTTTGGAGAAATGTTACTCAGCACTGATAGCACATTCCCATCTGTCTGGGAATTACCTGATTATACCACAGAGAGTGCACAGTGGAACATCAGTGGATGCCCAAGAAGCCAAGTCCACATGGATTAGTTATTCCATTCCCCAGAACTCATTGACATCTTTTAATACATCCCAATTCTTTAGATGAATAGTATCAGCTTTCTTTTTCAGAATTGAGGTGTTAATCATTACTTTTAGCATAAATTCTGCACGTAAAAATATATATGTTCTTGGCTGCTGTCTTATGTTTCCTGACATTATGAAATGTGCAGTAATTCAGACTTCATATTTTGCCTGTTTTGATATTTTGGTGATATTTTTACCTCTTTGTTTGTTTCCTCTTCCTCTTTCATCTCCTGAAGATAAGTAATTTATTTAGTCATCCTTGGATAAACAAAATCATTTCAAGCAGGAAAGGAATTTACAGTAAAGGCAATGCTAACACCTACTTGTTTTTGTGGAGAAAATAAACCACTGTAATAATCAGTACACAGACAGTCCCCAGTTAAACATAAGGCAAATTCAGCACCTTCTATGCCAATTTTAGGACTCCTGTGAATTCAGGAAGAATTCCATCTTTTCACAATGGATCTAAGGGAGGCACTCACAATTCAGCACAAATTTGTTTTGTTTTGTTTTGTTTTGTTTTGTTTTCAAAACAAAATTGCTTCAATGCAGAGGAGATTTAGTATTTCTAAAAAAACCCACAGAAAGCCAAACTAAGCATCTGCCGAAGCAAAAGTGGTATCAGAAAATGTATTACAAACATCCAGAGGACAGAAGTATCTTTCCAAACACTCTGATACCACTGCACTTGAAAAACAAAAAGTAAAGAGAATAACATGTAATCTCTGAAGATTAGTAATGTTTAGTTTGGGTATTATTTGAACTTTTGCGAGTTCGGTCTCTGTTTTACTGGAAGCTTTCTTTCTAGTTCCAGGAATCTTTGTTTGCTTGAGTATCTTATGTGCCAAAACTAACTCCTGCTTGTAAATAAGCTGTCTCTACATGTACTACAGAAATAAATACTGCAGAGTAAAATAATCCCCGAGACAGCTTTTTATCATGTTGCAGAAGTATGTCACAGAAATGGATGTAACAAGAACCATTTGGATGGTATTTTGCAAATACTGTACATTAACTATCCTTATTTATAACCAATTGTTTAGAGTCTATTTGGTATCAATTTATATTTTCATTTGTCAGCGTTGACAAATTAATCTGATTTCTACATTTTCGCTTCTATAGAAAATTATCGTTTACACATACAGGTCTAAAATAATGCACCAGGGGCTGAGCCAAAAGTCAGAACTGCTTCTGTGTGCTGAGGATTAGGCCAGCACTTTTTGGAGCTGTACCTTTGAGCTCCACCTTGTGTAATTACTTTGCCATGTTTGCAGCAGCTGGCTGAAGGGAATAGCCAATGAATGTGTTGAAATCAACATGGATTCATTTCATCAGTTCAGTGTGATTCTGTGGCAAAGGCTCAGTGCTTCTGTACTACAGAACCTACACCTGAAATAACTCACAAGAGTGACAATCCTGCTTAAGCAAATGTCCTCAGTAGTTTCTCACATCTAAAACTCTAAACTATTTCCTCATATCCTACCAGAGAACTGTGATGCTAGGAAAAATTGAAAATTAAACTTTCATTATTTGATTGTCCTATACTCCCAATTGTTGTTAATGTTATTTCAACAATTTATGAGCCTACTATCACAGATTTTTTCTTTCTTCTTTATGAGAAAAATTGGAATGAACTATCAGTCAACAAAATTGTTGACAGACCACTAACTCTAGCAAATATTCATGGGTAAAGTACAAATACAGTGAAATACTGAAGAAAAGGACCATGTTGACTTTCCAGGAAATACTGACAAGCATTTGAGACATATTCTACCTCTATACTGACTGTAACTTCTTAAGGAAACTTCCTCAATCTCTACACCAAAATAAAATGTGCCTATAGAACAGTTTATTCTTCAGTCTCACTCTGGAAGATATCTCATAAAAGTCTGATAAATGTATAGAGGTCTTGCTTAAAATTGGCAAAAGGTGCTCACTACTTGCCAAAGATGTTATAATATTAAGCTGGTGCCAGTCTTAAATCCTTGAAATTAAAATGGTGCTGGGACTAATGCTATATTTGGAGAATGCCCTGCTTTTTACAGAGGAAAACAGTTTTTCATACTAGAAATTGACTCTGTGGGGTGTTCAGTCTTCTCTAGAACATCATGTAGAGCCAGATGCAGTTTTGTCCCACATTTTAGAATTAGACATTATGGAACAGCAATTCTCAGTGTGGAGATTTAGTATTCATAGAATCATTAGACGTGCAATTTTCACAAACTCCGGGCTGAATACTAATATAACTCGAGTAACATTAAAGTGCATTTCTTTTTCATTCCTGTATCAGATGCATATGGAAATATTGTCTGTTGACTTCTGAGTGACAATACATGCAGAATGTGAAAGTGTTGGTAATCACCCTACCTGTGACCCAAAAACCTGATGCTTTCTGACAGAAACCCTGATTCTTTTGTGTAAATAATGAAGAGGCAAACAAAAAGAACAAGGGATGAGCAGAAACTGCAGCAAGTAAGAGAGTGAAGCAACAATCACAAAATACTCTGACCAATAATAAAATGTTAATCACATCCAAAAGCCCTGAAGATGAGGTTTTAACTTACTAAAAACCAAATGCTTCAATTCTTTCCAAGCCTTGTGCCTCTTCTCAGGTCTTTTTTAAAATCAGTGGGTTTTTTCTAATGTATTTTCTAAAAGCAGTTTTCCATAAACAATATTAAAATAGAAAAAAAAACCCCACTAGTTTAAGTAGATGTACAATTTTCATAAAGTTAGTATGGCAGAATTTGGAACAATGTATCATGTAAAGTATATCAAATTTGAGCATGACAATGAGAAGATGCTATTTTCACCTTACATTCCACATAAAAGGCTTTAAAGCTGTAGGAATTACTTAATTACAGGACATAGAAAATAATCATTGCATACAAGACAGTGAAAGAAATGAGGGAGAACTGCTGACTGGAAAGATGAAGGTTGTCATGCTGCCTTTAAAGTAAATTGGCAGAGAAATTCCCTTGCTGTTCTTAGTAGGCAACACCTGATCTAACTAATGCAGTAGATCAGCTGCAAGGTATTCCCTGACAGGACTAAACAGATACTGGATATTGTGGTTTCTCAATATTAAAGGACAAAAGTTGTAACAATCTCAGACATTTTTGCAAATCTAATGCCTCTTCATCAGACAGTTCAACATAAATCTTTCTATTTGTCCAGATAGGTTTTTTCAGAGGCCAGCATTCATTTTCATACAACACTGTCCCTTTTTTTTTTTTTTTTTTTTCAGAATCACAATAGGGAAGGGCAAGATTTGGATTAATTCAACAAGCTTTGAATCAAACTTTTCGGTTCTTTGTGACTTGGAACACAAGCTAAGTGCAATGAATTTACTTTCACTACACAACAATGCCACCATGTCAGAAATTAATTTGGACCCTTTCTTCAGATGGAAAGGTCATTTTTGTTTGTTCCAATTTTATCTTTATCCCAAATAATGATGTTTGATGACATGATTATTACTTACCCATGGTGTCCTTCATAAGCATTTTCCTTCCCCAAAGATCAGAACATTATATGCAGCTAATGGTTGCAAAAGCTTAACTTATAAAAATAAACTCTCCTCCTAGGAACACATGTGACTTCCAGCAACTGCAGAACATCTTGTTAAGCAGAATAGGGTATTATGAAATGACCAAGTGTATATAAATATTTGTTGAATCTGAGTGAGAACCTTTCTACTCCTGTGCTGCCTTTAGTGGGATCAGAAGTGGAGCTGCAATTACAGAGCTCTGGTCATTGAGACTGCACAAGCAGGGTCCCTCTGTGGGCAGCCTTCAGCTCAGTGTGTTTCCACAGGCAGGTCTGTCCACACTTCAGCCTCTAAGCTCAAAGGAGCACCTGTATTTGAGTGTGCTTTCAGTCTGCCCCAGAGCTTTGATGGTAAACAAACTAAATTTTGGCAGCCCAGCTTCAGTGTGTCACCACTGTGGCACCCAAGAGCTGGAGCCGGCGGTTCCAGTCTGCTCACACAAGGAGTCAGGAACTACTCAGGAAACAGAATCATGCAGTCACTACTGAACCACCAGATACTCCTCACCTGCAGAGTGCCACAGAATTAGGTGACACTCTATACCTATCCTTCCTTGGGAAGAATAATTAAGTAATCTATTTATAATATTCAAAAATTTTATGTGTTCTGCTGGAAAATTCAAATGCAAACCTCTAATTTAATACACCCGATATGTTATGCTTTAGAACATCATGTTTAATGTTTCTTGCAATAGTTTTGAAACACTCTTATGGTGTAACAGTTGTTATGCAAACCACCCACACTACCTCAATCAAACTGAACTAACAATTGAAAGATTCATTATCTGAATATTTGTTAAATATGCATAAGAAAAAGCGAAACTAATGTGCAGAATATTCTGTGAGCTACTGACAGAAACCTTTTGTTAATCTTCAACCTAACTCAAGTCATGGCATATTTTAATGACAAATGCATTTAATTTTATTGTTAAGTCAAAATTCTCATATCAGATTTTTGCATTTTCATTTGATTTTTAAGGATATTCATGGATCTTCCTTACACTGACATCCATTTTTACATCTCCTTGACAGCCCTTCATCTGTCTGCACTTTGAGTGCAACTTCTTTTTGCTGCTTTCATTGCTGCTATTGAAACAACTGCTTCAGGACAAGCCAAGTTAGCTTACTCCAGCTGCAACATTTTATGGTTGCTAGCACCATAAAGAAAAAATAATTTCTTAGAAAATAGATACGTAATATTCAGGAAGAATGGACTTTCTTGCAGTACTTATCCTGTGGAACTCAAACCAGTAGCAAATACAGACTGGAGTAGTCTAAAACTTGCAAGTGACTCAAATCAACTGTCTCTTGTTTTACCCCTTTAACCACAGCCATGAGGCATGCAGCCCTTTGGAAAGCTCACAAGTGGTATTTTCCTTTCCAGCTTAAATTTCCAGAGGCTGTGGGTAATGAGAAACTTTCTATTGTCCTCCCTTATGGAAAATATAAATATAGAAAGAGTGTTTAAGATAAAAGGCTGTAGTCAGATCACATGAGGATAGTGGTGTACATTGCTTGCATTTCAAGATGCCCTATGAAAACACTAACTCATCAGTGGTCTTTGTTCTCATGGTAAGTGTTTCCCTTCAATATTTTGGCTGTTACATGCACAAATTTGGCATCATTTAAGCTTCTTTCATATGCCTAGGTGTACTAAGTGTTGGTACCTCTGTCAGTGAGGCCACCCATACAGGAAGGAACAAAGGCCACCAGCTACTGTTAGATCCGTAACCTCCCTGTCAACATTAGAAATAGAAAATCTGGCCAATAATTACAGAGAGAACTCTGCAGCTTGCCAGCAACGTTTGCTGGATCTGGGCTACAAAAGTAAACCCTCTACACATGTGTTTAGTTTGTCCTCAATGTAACTGCTACATTCCATGACAGTCTGAAGGCAAAGACAGTTCAAACAGGCAGTGAACAAATGGAAGCATTTGCTGCGCTGCTGCTTTACAAGGGGAGTGTCCACACAGCTGCTTAAAGGGATGGCTTATGGGCAGACCCAAGAAAAGTGCACTGATATACCCAATCTGTCTGTTTAGAACACTGTCTGCAGATTCATGATGAGCAGAAAGCTCACTGCAGAGTGCAAGATACAAAGAGGTGTATGGAAACTGTAATGTAATTTAAAATATAGCCTAGAGTTTTTTTAAATACTCATATGGTATGCTTTGGCTCTTTTATTTCATAATAAATTGTTATTAAAAAACCAGGAGCACACGTGAAAATGTGTGCCACATAAATAAATTTTCCTTGTTTGTGCTCCTTCTGGAAAGGTATTTTTACTTCAGATTCACCTCCTTGTTGACCTACAGTCTTAGCTAGAGACACCCCTGTGGATAGTGACCAGGGAAGCAACTGGCCTGTGAAAAAGATATAATTAAGCACCTGACTTAATGCTTAGGTTTGCTAAAACACCAGAAAGGGGGCAAGTGTTAAATGGAGGTTGTGTAATGGGGTGAAAATTACAGGAGGTAATCTGTGAGGAGATAAAAGCAATATATTCTCTCATGCATTACACAGCAGACTCCTCTATGGTGTGAGTTCCTGCTGGGAAACCCAGCAATTTTTTTAGCCATGAGCCAAAGGGATTGTATACCTTGAACTCTCTGTGAACAAGCTCTGGGATTTCACTGTCATCATTTTCCTCCTGTTCCTCAGTACTGTTAACACTGCTTTCCATTGAAATCTGATGATTTCAATGAAATGTTTTAGTTGAGTGAAAAATCCGGAACTTATAATACTTAAAGAGTTCTCTGAAAGTCAGAGAAATTTTTCTTTGGGACACCTGTTTTGACAATGTGCTTGCTTGAAGAAAACTTTCCAAGTCTAATAATTTCTGTGGCTGAAATTCAAATGGATCTATACATATTACTCTCTTCAAAAATCATTGAAATCCAAAACCTCACAAGACTCTTGAAATGTGAAGTTTAACTGTTTAAAAAACATTAATACTCATCATCTAAAACAAGGGCACAGGTGGTGTCATAATGACCAAAAAACAAGAGACACATGAGTAAAAAGGGGAACAGTCAGGAAAATGGGATTAATGATCACAACACCCGAGAGATGAAGGCAGAGAGGAAGAAGGAAGATCACTGTGCCTAACAGGACTGACAGCATATTCTATTCTCTCTGCTATGTTTTGTCTGGCATGTTTTCCCCTTGATTGCTTAGCCCATGGAGAATATTCAGTAAAATTTTATTCTTACTACACACACACAACTCATAAAATTAGACTTTCACTCTGAATATTCAAGAAGAAACATTTCATATTTGCCTTAAAGTTGGCTGAATATTTTGTGCATTTTTTTTTCTTTTACAGTTTTACAATATTAGTGAACAAGAAGAGATCAAGTGAAGGAGTACAGTTAAAAGATGACCCACTGTCATTCTTTTTGCCACAGGGAAAGGTAAAACAGAAGTAAATTTCTTTACTGAGAGGGTTTTTGGGCAGTGCAACAGACTCCCCTAGGAAGTAGTTCTGGCACCAAGCCTGTCACAGTTCAAGAGCCATCTGGACAAAGCTTTAAGTCCTAAAACTATGATTTAGTTTTAGGTAAACCTGTTAGGAGCAGGGAGTTAGACTTGATGATGGGTTCCTTCCAACTTGAAATATTCAGTGACTTATCCAATTTTAGTATATGCAAGTACATGCCCATATGTAGCTGTGCCCTCTCATCAGTAACTTTATTTTTAACTTCTCTGCGTAAGGTATTTGCATTTACTTGTTTTTCCTCTGCTCATCTCTAATGAAAAGAAACTTGCAAAATATAAGACACTATTTAAACCAAAAAGCAGATTAAGTGCTCATTCTAGCAGTTGAATAAGGTTTGTCATGTACAAAAGCCAATGGTAATAATGACCTAAAATATATTTTTAAAAGTAACTGAAATGGAATGCCACAAAGAGTTTTGTTCTGAGCAAAGCCTGCAGTTACAGCAGACTGTGATGGGGTGGGTACCTTTAAACAGCCTTGTCACTGGTGTGATCCCCAACTCCTTCAGCAGGAGGGAATGTCCTGCTTGCTCGGCAGGGTCATCACAGACGGTGCTCTGTGCCCAGAGGAACTGACAATCACATTTCATGCCTGTTGTTACTTTTGCAGTCTACAAAGTCAACCCATGGCTGGGTCTTCAGTTTTTACTAATGAACACTGATTATTTTTAGTTTCTTATCGCTGTGGAAGTGGCACTTCCACTGCAATATACACTTCTATATGGCAGAAATGCACAACTTCCAGAAATGTGAAAAAATACAGCTGTGTTGGTGCAAAGACTGGGGGCCTATGTTCAGCTTTAGGGATATACTTGAGTTCCTTTACAAGTACAGTTAGCTATTTTACTAAGGTTGAGATAACACAACTCAACTAATTTACTACTTTTAACTTTTTTTTTGGATGTTTTAACTGCCAGTGTAAGTACAGAACTCACTAATCAGAGTGCTGTTTATTTGGATTATACCCTAAAGGGTCTATACCTACAAACTACTGTTTTATGTGTATTTACCATGGAAGTGTGACACTCTATGGCTGACTGTGTCTCTACTCTTCACTTCTTTGAAAAACATCTGTCTAAACATTATAGTAATTTATAATGGAACACTAACTATTTGGAATAGATTTTTTTTAAATGCATTTTTGATGTGATTGTCTCCTTTTAAAAACCATTCTAAATGCATTAAAATCCTTCTTTTTTAGATGATCTTGTATCCCAACCTGATCTCTGCCAAAACCTCTGAGATGTGCTTTCAACATGCCAAAAAGTTATGCTTGATACAAACAGAGAGTGAGTGAATAGTTCCTGAAGGCTGGTGTCAAGTTCTGTTTGTATGGCCAAAGGTATATCAAACAACTTTTTTAAGTCTTCACTTTCTGATTTGAGAAGTATGAACTTTGCTGAACTTCACACCCTTAAAACATAGTTGGAATGTGAAACAGACATCAAAAGTGAACAAAGCAGTGAAGAGTTATGTTGATCCCAAATCACCATAATGAAGTATTGCTCACTGGAGAACCACAATAGCTGATGGCATCTGATAACACAGTTAAATGCCTTAGCATAAACCACTACAAACACCAAATCTTTGTAAACTAAAATAAATGGTTTGTCAGACTAATAAATCAGTCAATGAAGGATATATAGTTTGTTGTTTTGGGTTTTTTTTAAGTCTGCATGCTAATGACAACTTCATTTTTGAGCCAGGAATTGTGAGTGAAAATGGTTTGATGCCAGCTACTGAATGGTGAAGTATTTACCACGAACATTCTCAACATAGTTACTCACCATTGTTACACTTGGCATTCTATTTGCTACTGTCTAAAATGATAGGATATTTTCAAAGACAGCATGTGAGTATCAGGTTTTTCTTTTTACTGCAAAGAAAAAATGAAGCTTATGAAATGTAATGCCTTCCTGTAAGGAAAAAGATGGAAGACTGAGGGTTCTAACGCTTATTTTGTATATCAAATTGACCCTTTAAGGGAACTTTACCTGTTTTTATTTAAGTCTTCCCCAAATCAACCCGAAACCTAAGGTTTATTTTGCCAGTATGATCATACAGTATTTCACATCCTGCAGGCTCTGGTTACACTCCAGATCAATTTTCATTCCAGCATTTTATTTTCCAGAAGTTATTTTTGTCACCCTTGTTCTGAAGGTAACAAACATCTTTTGCATATGTAACATTTACATTTTCACACAAGGGATCAATTTACAAGCTTGTGTGTTTATAAACCAATAAAAAGCCAACTAGAAAACCTATATCCTAATAATCTGCATGCCTGCTCAGTTCACCTCCCTGGCTCCCTGTGTCAAATCCTTTCATCTGACTGAGTATTTCCTGTGAATCTTTGTCAAGTCTTGATAATTTTGAAGACATGCACATCTCAAATGCATATTGCACATATTAAAATATAGTAATTATTTGGGTTTTTTTAATTGAATATACCATTCTATTCCTCTTTATTATTCCTTATTTATCCTTGCTCTTTGGACAACCACTTCTAGATTTTCTCCAAACCCCATTTTATGACACAGAAAGCACATTCTTCTAAATTTATTTTTTTAATTTTACTGAGACATTACAGATTCCTCACAGTCACTCTATTTTATGCTTTGTTCCTGCAAAGGAACAAGAACAGAAATGCAATTAGACCAACTTTGAGGAGTTTTACATGCTCCTTTATATGTGTTGGCAAGCCATAATTAGTTAATATTAGCAATAAGCTAGATTTTATTACCTCTTACAGAATTCAAAATACGATTGCTGGAGAAAGGACACCATGGAGATACAATCTTAGAATTGTATTTCTAACAGTCCAAATGTTATATGACTCAAAATAATTTGCTTTTTTTTCTTCCATTTGTAATGGTAATTGGTCTCTGCTGCCAGAACAAGCTCTGCTTGTCATGGTATCTGGTAATATTATTACTCTATTTCAAGATGTCATGATAATAAAAGCTGAAATTCTCCCAATTGCATATTCAGAGTCTATAGTGTTTTCCAAAATATTCTGATGCCCTAATATTCTCAATGCATCTTTAATGAAATGTAGTCAAGATTATTGATGTAGATATTAGCAGCATTTTTTTTATTTGAGAGAGATTTTTACATCCCATGGAAGTTATTGGGGTAAATATTGGGAAAGAACCTGAGTGAAATTTTATCTCCTTCTTGGGCAGGGGTTTGGTTTTGAATATATGATTTGCACTCTCCTTAAATGCATATTCTGATTACTGAAGTTTCAGTACCTTCACATGGCATAAAAAAAGTATTAGAAGAGAAAGATAAAAATGCTTCAGAGGATAGAGGCTGGAACTTTCAGAAAGTATTTCAATGTCTAACTCCCACCAAGAGTAAAGGCCTTGCAAGAGAGGCTGAAAATTCTTCCCAGTGTCAATTTAAAATATTGATTTATAGAGTATACTATACACAGAATAGACTGTGAAATTGCAATTACATTAATTGTCAAAGGATGATTTACCTGACCTATAATGCAAACGTACACATCGTATTGTACTGAAATACTGAGATATTGTGTGCTACAACAGAGAACAAAAACCATGGATAAGTTAATTTTGCCTTTCAAATTTATAGAAATTTAACTTGCCCACCTTTATCTGCATTGAGTTTGGAACTACTGATTTTCAGATTAACAAATGACCTGCAACCTGGTCAAATTAGCAAAGTTTGTAGCTTGAAAAGATCACAGGGACATGAAGCTGACTCATTTTCCAGGGTGAAATAAAAGAACAGAAATCTCTCAATAACACTGTTTAATTGTTTAATTTAATATTTCTGTATATATTCCAAATAGGAGAATTTGCTTATAAATAATGTTGGCACTCCATTTTAGAGAGGCTTTGTGTAGGCAGCTTTCTGAGCTATCATTTAGTCTGATTATTTTTAATTTTAGGCAAACAAGATGACTACAAATGTATCTCTCACACTAAGAAGATAATTGAGATTGAACCTTCTAACCTTTATGACTTTTTTCCACAGATCACAGTAAATAGACTATTTAAATTGTTATTAATTTTGCTGGTGTCTGTGTCTAGTTTTAAATATTCCATTACATCAGTGGCACAGAGAATTCCCTGCATGAGCCATGGGAAAGATGCTGACCTAATTATTTTAGAAATAACTATGTAGAAAAATCTAAAAGGATTAACAAAGGAAATATTATGTCACTACCAAATTAATAACTAAAATAGCATGAAAATCACTGTATAATTATCTAGGTTTCCATAGCAACTGTCTTTGATGGGTCGCCAAAAAGACTTCTGATTGAGCTTCAATACTTCTGCTCTCCCTGCAATACATGATTTCTGATCTGCCTTTGACAAACAACCAACCAGCATACATCCTTATCCTACAATCTTTAAGCAACAATCCTCAAAAGCACTAATCAGCCACATGCTTTTTTCAGGTCTGAACTCTTGAACTTAAATATGCAAAAATATTTTTCAAGTGTATTATTACAAATACAGAGCTACCAAAAAAGAAAATTTTATATGGTAATATTTCTTTTTTGTCACAATCCAATAGCTGCATAAAAATATGAAAAGGTATTAATCAAAGAAACAATTATGGGTTTTATTTCATTCTTTCATTGTAATTTTCCATTACATTTGCTCATCTTTTGAAAAGCCTTAGCCATTTAAGTACTAATCATAGGCATGTAAGCAAATGGATCCCAGCGCTTGCAAAGGTGAAAGAAGTGTGGCTATCCCATGGATTCCAAAATAAACTCTAAGAGTTTTATCTGAATTTGTTTCATTTAAATAATCAAAATTGGCAACTATTTTTGGCACAGTGTTTCCACATGTGTTTCATACAGCAGATTTCAGCAAAGCCACCTTAGGAGTTTCTGTAAAAGAGATAAACTCTGTACTCAATATGTGTTTCTCCTATCAAAGCTCACAAGAATGTTGGTCTCATGCACACAGCTTCTCCCAGAAGGCAGTATTTCACATAAACTCTAGCTGAATTCATGGATTATTTTCTCACAAATAACAAGTGGATATTTTAGGAAATGCTTTGCTGTTGACCTCCCAGGAGCTGCACAGCCTTTTCATCGTCCCCTCACTTAAGGAAGTGTTAAAGCAGTGTCTGAACTTGACCTCAATTTTCATTGCACACATGCACAGAGAAAGTACCCATCCACGCTGCCCTGGTTCCAGGAACTGAGGAGCAGGACAGGGGGAGGGTGGGAGTTGGTCCAATGGATGTGGAAGGACTGCATGTGCCACTGCCCTACTTCTAGATCTACTCGCTGATGTTGGGAGAGCGCTGCACAGGAATACTTAAAACAGAAATAGAGACCCCATGTTTGAAACAAACAGGTTCCTGACAGATCTGCTTGGTTTCAGAGAAAGAAAAGTACCACTGCTATTAGTTCAGTGCTTTGTGGGAGTCTTGCTGAATAATTAATTTTGTATTATTTACAGTTACTTAGAACTTTCAATTAATGTTGTATAATATTCTGGGATTTAAATTCTGAAACTCTTGTTTATTCTGTTAGCTCCTGAAACTTCACATGCTTTACTACTTTAGAATAATTGGATTCTGAAAGACAGAAGCACAGTGTCATCATGTGCTGCCCTGATATGCAGAAAATCTCTCTCAATCAAATTGAGATTGGTCCTGAAGACTGAGATTGCTGTACAACAAAACATAATGTCCCAGAAAGAACTGCAGACCCAAAAATCCACATTTTATTTTACATTACATTATCCACCAACATTTTTCATCCTACTTAAGGCTAGGCATCTTTCTTGGATAACTGCCTGTCAAAATCAACACATAAAGGTAAAGTCAAGACCTCCACGGGGTGATTTAGCTCCCTTCAGATCACCTTCCGAGGTGTTTATATCTACTTATTGATAATAAAGGGAACTGGAGCACTGAAATACCTTTTTCTCTCTAAAATCTTCTGTGATTAATCCTTTCTTGGTTGGGTGGTTTTTGTTCTCTGACACATTGTTCCAAATCATAAGGTCTTGACTTTTCTTGTTTGGACTAGATCATTGTTGGATTTGTCTTCACCCTTTCAAGCAATTACTCCTACTGCTTCCTCTGGATGAGAACGCTGAGTGGATAACTGCCACTGAGGCTACAGTACTGGCATTCTACAGGTATTCTGTAAGCTACTGTCTGGATTTTCAGATGCTGGAAGCACTGAAGTGTAAAAAATGTTAAGATAGGCCTCAGTGAACTTTCCATGAAAGCACAAGCAAAGTTTGTGCAGGTTTGAGTATGAAAAAAAAATAACTGTCCATCTCAAAGAATTTGTAGCCATCACTCTGTAGCTAATCACTCTACACTGGTGATATATGACTAACACTGCTTTAAAATTGAAAATAACTTTTAATAGATGAGTCACTGTGTCACAGAAAGATGCCTTAAATACTCATTCGCTGTTATTTGTCTTCTTGTACAGTTTACAGAAATAATTAGTATTCCATTTGACAAACAAGTGCAAACATCCATTAGCTTAATGACACAACACATATTATGACTAGGTCTATAATTCTTGCTAGAACTCTCTCAGTACTAACTGCTGAACAGTCTGTCTGTCATATTGGAGTGCACATGTTTTAGTAGATGCAAAATTGCTCTGGTTACAATGCCACTGAAATTTTTAAACAAAGAAAAATTATTGGACAGCCTAATCTATCTTTGAAGTCAGGAAAAAGGAGAAAATAAAAAACCCTTGTATGTAATCGATAAATTAAAGATATATGAAAATGGTCTTATAGATTTACTGACCTGCAAATGAGTTCCACCCCCACATCCATAAACAATTATCACCAAGGATCAAAGAGTGGAGTAGAGCATAAATTTTGTTGTGATTACTGTTTTTTCTGTAATAACGCTGAAAATTGTCAGCTGTATACAAAAAGACAGAAGAAGCCTTTTTCTACTATACTCTGAGTGCAAAGGACAGCCTGAACAATGGTATCTAAAAACTGTGAGATTAGCCAATCAGTTGTAACCTCAGATAACTTCCTTTTTTACTTTTCATTGGAAAGCTTCCACCTGAATTGTAAGACATGAGCTGGCACATGCCCATCTGTGTAACCACCACTTAAAATATTCTGATGTGAAGATGTAAATGATGGCTTTACAGATGATACATGAGGTGAAATTCATTTTCTGTGGGTTTCCTGCTAGTTGTCGTAAAGTTATTTTGAAAATTATTATTATATGCAGACAGGAACAAAGCCAATGAGGAATCTTTCTGGGCTTCATATCATCTTATAAAATTGTGTAATTCCCATAAAAAGCTCATTTCCATCCCTGTCTATGTGTCTGCCAAAAAAAGGTGGCTTTGAACAGAAAACCCTGTGTTTTAAAGCTATATTGGCTTCACAAGTGCTGATGTTGCTCTTGCAGCAGATGGCACAAGCCTGGCAAGCAGGAGCTAAGGCGGCTGTGGGGTTTCAATTGAATCCACCCAGGGCCTGAGTGTCAGCAGGGAGGCTCGATGAGGGCAGGTGTCAGTGGTGCCAAAAGCACACCATGAGCATGTCCCTCATCCTCTAAGGGGAAAGTGCTCTGCAGTGAAGGCACTTACTCAAGCTACTCATCATTTTACTACTTAGTCATTTTGCTTTACTGAAGCCATGGTACTACATGGAGCAGGGCAGTGTTTCTAAATGGAACCAAAGCATGCTTATGAGAACAGACTGGTGATGACTGAAAGGTTTTCTGTGTTGTGCAAGTGCTAGCTCCCAAACATGTTTGGGGGTACTGACCTGGGTACTGCTTGCCTTTGCAGAAAACATGAAAGATCAGTCTGGTGAAAAGCACTCCTAAGTGGAAAGATTCCAGCAATGGACTTAGGTCCTCCTTCAGCAGGACAAAACTCATATAAGATCTAAATGATGTCTATAAAACTAAATGCTCCCTCAAATTTGCCATAGATGTAACATAATCAAAGACACTAAGTTAATTTATTTGGACTGTTTATAGAGGGGTTTTTGGGTATTTTAAATAGATAATCAGCAGTATAAAGAAAGAATGTGTAAAAATGCCATTATGTGTGTTCACATAGACAAGAGTAGCAATCACTTGAACATAACTCCAGTCTTAGAGAAGCTGCAGATATTTGAACTACTATTCTCAGTCAAAAAGTGCTTTGTTTCCGTAGTTACTGCATTACTGGGTGTCTTCATCTCATTTAGCTTATTTTCAAGTCTAGCAGGGTCAGTCCTAGGTCAGTAAATAATGAACTATAATGAAGTAGTATCTGCAGCCATAATTACAGGTGAGCTTGCCACTTTCTGCATGTTTTACTGTCAGTTATCACAATGCCTGCTGGTGAGCAGGATACATAATTTGTGCAGCATTTCAGTAAGATATTAAAGTAGGAAAGTAGGGATGTAAAAAAAGGTGAAGCAATATTTACTCAATAGCACCTTGTATTGTAAAAACTAAAAAGCAAAATTAAAAATGTCCAAGTCCTTATGCATATAAAATTACATAATGTTCAATAGGAGATTAAATATCACAAAAATTCATTACTGTCTGGAACAGGTAGCATTTGTTATTAAGCAGGTGTGTGGCCCTAAGACAAAGGGTAGAATTGGACCATTCATTTAACCTGGCTAGAGCAAACTCCTCTTCTAAAAAGCCATGTGGTATGTTACAGTTATTACCAAAAGGGTTAGGCAGCGCATAACAGTGACTATCAGAAAAGCAAGCCAGAGAAATAAAGTAAGAGAAAATCAAATTACTGTCTCCAAAATGACACACTAAACTTTATCAATGTGCTGACCTAAAGGCATCTTGTCTGGCAAAAACAAATACAGGTGATTTAGCCTTTCCACACAGAACCATCTTCTCTCTTCACTGTTCTCTAGTACACCAGCTTGTATCATGCTGTACACAGCCCTGCATTCCCCAAGTATGATTCTCAGTTCTCAGGCACTACTGATGAGAAAGTTCTGTATGTTAAGTAAGCTGCTGTATAGCCAGACTAATCATGCCAGTCTCCTTTATCTGCCTCCAGCCCCGGCTAACACCATATCACTCTGCCACAATGTAAACATGGGGCAATTGAGTGGTGTTTCCTCTGGATGCAAATTCAAGTTTTTCAGGTCTTGCAGCAAAATATTCTTCAGAGTAATACATTTTGGTTGTTTGAACCTACCATCCAGTACCATCAATACTCTAGATTAATACATTCTATGCTGTCTGTAATCTGGATTATTAACAGCTATCCCTTGTTATCCTTAGGGGAATCTGACTCGGTTAAAGTCCTATGGCTGAGCTAATGCACATTCTTCTCTGTCCCAGCAGACAGAGGAAGGTGACCTTGGTGTGAGTCAATTTACTTCTGTTGGTACTCTTCATATGTGAGTGACTTCTCTGCTGAGGCTGGTATATATGCTTGCTTTGTCCTGTGTTTTTTACTTCATCTGTATTTCCTTCATTAGAGTGAGAAGGATTCCTTTCCCCAGGCATGTACATTCTGTTTCCAAACCCAGAGCACTCACACCCC